CTCTGAAAGGAATAAAATTATCACTGGGTTAAAATATTAAATTATATAAATATCTTTCAGTTGTATACCCTATATGCTTATTAATACTATGATCGTTTATTTATTTATTATTTCTTTATATTTTATTTAAAGTATAGTATTCTCATAATTATCGAGTTTTGGCGTAACTTGCACCAATTCGAGCTTAGCTTAGCATGGGCAAAGTCAAGTTGTTTCCATCTTATCTGTCTGGACAAACCGTGTGTACCATTGGCGTTACATCGATATCGACGGGAGGTACAGCAAGTCCTTCCCCTAGGGCTTGGTGTATCTCCCTAGCTCCCCCGTGCAGCGCCGTCCTAAATCCTACATCTTTTTCTTACTGCTTTGCTTCGTTTTCTATGACCGCATGCGACATGGAGTTTTTGGTATATATCTGGTTTATGTTGGTGTTTGAACCCATTGACGTATTGAGGAATTTGATACTAAGACTAAATTTTCATGTTATAGTTCAACGTTACGTCATCATAGTTTATCAAATACGCGTTTTAAGGTTCATCATCAATCGTTTTAAGGAGATCAGCTCATGTTGTTTAGAAGATCTTAAGAAAATATATTATAAGACTATATTGCTAGTACCGCATTTACACAATGAATGGAAAGTGAAACCAAAGAAAAGAAATAGGAATATCAATCTTGTATAAGTCTATCCTTTTGGTTCAACAGGATTTTCGTGCGCACGCGGCAAATAAAACGATCTGATTCGTCTACTTCATCGCTGAACGCTGTCGCCTGCCCGCGCACTATTTTAATCTCTAAATATTAATAACGTATAATATATTATTTTTTTATTGGTAATGGCATTATTTCAACCTATTATTTTAGATATTCATCTATCCGTTTCTTGTTTTTGTTCAAATATGTCAGATTAAATTTAAATTTATTTGTAGAGGCGCGAATAATCAGATGGTAAATTGATTTACGTGGTAGATATAGTCTCTCCAGCGACAAGATCCTTGACAATGATAGCTGTGTCTGTCATTTTAATTTCAAAATAGTTTATTTTATTTTACAAAGAAATAAGTTGGTACAACTGGAACGCATAATAGGAAATTATTATATTTAAAATTCGGCTGATAAGTGATTACTTCAAAATATTGTGAAAAAACTGTATAAAACTGAAAAAATGTAATCGAGTTATTTTTTTTAAACACAAGAACAAAACACCACATACCAAAAAAAATATAAAAAATAACTATTTCTGACTTTCAAGCTTCAAGTAACTTTCCGCATTTATTATTATATTTATCAATATAACTTATGTACAAATACAAATTTGTAATATTCCACAGGAATAAATAAAACAACATAAATAAAACAAACTATTTTATTAATAATAACACAAAATTTATATCATAAAGGTTAATTAATTAATTTTTTTAAACCAGTACCTTTTGACATTTTTCTGCAGCACTAAAATCCATATCACACTAATTATGTGTCTATTACACACTATTAGTGTGTATCACACTATCGTGTGATGTCGATATTTTACAGCTACTTCAGTAATATATGTTTAGTACGATCCTTGTAGCATATACGAGATGCACTTATCTACGACGAGATGGTATACAAACTTAATTGATGGTAACTTTATTGGCGTATAAGACTTTCTGCCTGGGCAGCGAGTATTATCTCTAAACTGTGCTCTGGGTCTACAGTTAATTTTTCCTCGATTTTTCCTCCACTTGACTTCAAAAGACACAAAGCACACGTAATAACACGAATCAAAATGCATCGTCTTCCAAAACGCAGATATTTGACATAATCTTTCTTCGGGTTTCTCTTATTACCGATCCTGAACCGTCCTAGAACTGTGATGCGTATGCGCAGAAGGAAATATGAAGACATTATTTCATTTGCGCATGCGCTGCAGAGTTCTAGGACGGTTCAGAATCGGTAATAACAAGAACCCGAACAAAGCTATAAGTTGACACAAAATTATAACCTATAATTTGGCAAGACTTTGACAAGCCTCAAAAATCTAAAGGCGAGTTCATACGCATCAGCGTCCGTTTGTCGTTCATCGTTCCGTCAAACCAATAAAATTGAAATATGATCTGTCATTTTTGAAATAAACCAATAAAACTCGTTAAAAAACAACAAGAGACGACGCATGACGGATTTATATTTAAATCCATCCATAGTTAACTTAAAAAATATTAGAAACTTTTTTTAATAAAATAAAATAGATTGGTATGGGACGTCATCTGCTTTTCTTCTGTCATCGTCTGTCGAAATCTTACCTGAGAATAAAATCAGAGTATAGAAACTTAGAAAACTACTTTTATTGATTATTATGGAATAAATCAACTAATGGCGAAGCACTTCTCACGCTTGCGTAGTTCAAAGATGTTGAACGAAAAGGACCGAATTATGTGGATTTTGTATAGCTCCATCTCAAAAATTGGGCTTCAATTTCTGCTCTTTACTAGCAATATAGTCGTATAATATATTTGATCTTAAGTAAATTTCGAAATTGTTATTGATCAAATTCCGGCTTTATCAATTTGAAATAGGTACATTGTAGCTTTATTAATTTGTGTTTCAGTATATACAGGGTAAGTTTTAAATAGCTCGCTGGCAGATCTCCATAAAAGAAACATATTTCCTTATATTTTTTTTCAAATAATTCCAAAATAACCGAGTTATTTTACTTTATGCTTATGTATTACTTTCGAAAAATTCAAAATAAAAAAAATCGCGAAAGAAAAACCATAGACGTGTTTCTGGGGTCGAAATATACCACCGTTAAAATGTTAACACTACCTATTTAAGACTCACCCTGTATATTTTAGGTGCATATACTACTTCTTTCTAGCTATATGGTACCTATTTAAAAAGATAGACTTATGAAAAGAATTAGGCTTATTCTATACAATATGATCTTTGATAATCTATAATTTAGAATGCCCCGTAAATTAAATAATTGATTGTACAGGGTATCTTATTTTCGTGTTTTTTTTTCAGGGTTTCTCGTTTATGAGTAGAATTACAAGATGCGGTTTTACACTTCTTTCTGCTTTTTTTATGAAACTATAGATGCTAGATACAGATTTGTCCTAGTTCTTTTAGTTCCTGAAATACAGGGCGAATTTGGAATTGATGTATTTTTTGACTTCCCTCGTACGATGGTTATCTTATAACTTACCGGAAAGGTGGAAACTGAGTGTTACTTTGTGTTTTTTTAAATGGGATATCCTGTATATAATTATTTTTTTTTATTTGCCTTGTTATGAATTTTCTAATAATATTAGTCTATACTTATTTTTCTACACAAGATAAATAAATGCATTATTTAACTTTTTAAAACAATCGAATAATTTATTCGACGTCAAATTTTGGTTACTGCTGAGGTGCATCAATATATCAATAAGTCTGTTTAACAGGGTGGTACCTAAAAGCTGTGCAATTCATTTTCAGTGCAGTTTAATAATTAACACAATGGAAAGCAAAATTATATATATGATTAAAATAAATAAAATAAAATAATACTCTTTTAAACTTGGTTGATTTGTGTTAAAAAAATTAAATAATGCATTTTTACCCTATTTATAAAAATGAGTATAAAGTATATTATATTTTTAGTTAGCTCATAACAAGGCAAATAAAATTAAAAAAATAATATATAAATGAAGGCTAGGACAAATCTGTGTGTAGCATCATTAGTTTCATTGATGTGAAAACCGCATCTTTGTATCTCTACTCATAAGCGAGAAACACTATAAAACACATAAAAATGGAACACCTTGTACATCCATAGGAATGTGAAACGGCTTTAATGTACAAATGCCAATTTACAAAGCATCAGCGACAATATCAATCAAATTTTTGACAATTCAAAAAAATCTATTTAAGTTTAGCTATGGAAACATAGATTATACTGTACGTTTCTATTCTTCTTTGAAATATGTAGTACTTTCCTGAATACGTCAATGTTTGAAAGTAGTTAGGTTATTTTATGTTTTTGTTTTTTATGTTTTTGTTTTGTAATGAAGGATTTGTTCGATTTTAAATATTATTTTTATTTGATATGAGTAATCGAGACGATGTAAAAGATTCAGACGAGTTTGACTGTCTGTGATAATAGATGTTATTGTTATATTTATTTAAATTTTACTGTAACAGTTAAAGTTCTTTATTAAAGGTATTATAAAGTTACAGTTAACTATATGAAGTTAACTGTCATTGAAGAATTTACTTCTATCTTTTATCTTTTTCTATTTGTCTTATTTGGAAGATTCATTTTGTTTTTAAAGTTATATTACTATTTAGCAAATTCTTAATGTACTAAATTCTAAAAAAAATATATTTTATAATTTTACAGACAGTTTCTTCACAACATAAAAATATCATTGAATGTTTAAAAGTGCCAAACAAATCAAATTACATTATATTCTGACAATTTTATATGACTGAGCAAAAAATAGAATATTTGTATATTTCTCTAATCATACATATTGCCGAAAAAGAAAATTAATATTTTTTAATAGATATATTGTTCTTTTGACTTAATTTTCAAAAACTTTAAAATATATTTTGATGGCAAAGGATCAACTTGTTCAAATTTATTTTGTATACTCACCACTGAAGTTTTATAAAATAATATATAGCCACAAAATAATTTGCCTATCACCATACATCTTGCTCAAAATTTTTCTAGAGAATATTATACTTTTATATAATCGAACAATGGTATATTCTGAGAAACCAATTCATTCAATCACAAGTGTATTTTGTTGACAGTCTCGTTTAATTTGTAGTGTCTCTAAAGGCTTTTTTCATAACGAAATTCGAGCCAATACAAATTACTCATTTTTATTTTCTTGCCTGGTGACGGTACATTTTAACTTATTTTTCTTTTATTTCTTTCTCTTTCCCCCCTATCCCTTCGCTTGCATCCCCCCTCTCTCTCTCAAACTCACTGTGTTTATTCTCTCTGTTTTGACTCGCACCAAAAGCGCATAACACCACGGATGTGTCGGCAACTCCCACTAACCAACCTCCTCCCGTCAAAACCGTCTCTCCACTCGAGACCTACGTCGCCCCCAGTATTCGCAGACAAGAATTTGCCGCGTTACACGAAAAACCAGCTCTAAGTCCTATTTCGGGGTCTATCGAGTTGGAGTCGCCTACAGATTCACCTTTACCGGTTAGAAAGATGTCGAAGAATGAAATTCCTTTGACTCAGTTGAATTTGGCTTTGTTTACGTCGGGGTTAGAGATGAAACACGCTTGTCGTTTGAGCAGTACCAACGAATTGCCGTTGACTGATATAAAGTTTCAGAGTAAGTTTATTGATGACGATTCGTCATCTTTGGAGGTGAATCTGGAGACTGACATTAAGTTAATGGATGAGAACGCTCCGAAAAAGTCTGTTATACAGCACAGGTCTTTTTCGGATCCGAACATACTGGATCTGGAGTGGATACACGGTTGCGACAAGGAGTTCCTCATGCAGAAGTACAGCGACAGTTTGCCGAAAGAGAGCAACCTGTCGCCGCACGAGTTCCCCTTCCCCCCGCGCAGCATCTACCCCGAACACGACCCAAGGGCCACGTGTCTCCTGTGCGCTCCCCCCTCTCCCAGCCTCCTAACCTTTTTCACGTCGCGTCGCTCGATGTCTCACCCCGCCGACTCCCCCCGTGTGATACACCCTTGCGTCTCCAATTCAGAGTGCGGCGCAGGCGCGGGCAGCGGCGGCGGCGTCGGCTGTCAGACCACCAAACGCCATCGACACAGTATTGCCGGACAGATGAGCTACTTTAAGGTGATGGGTCTGAGCTACGCGGTGCCGGGGGGCCTCAAGAAGCTGATAGGGGGCAGTGCCAACAGCCTGTTCTCGACGGCGGTGATATCTGGCAGTTCCAGCGCGCCCAACTTGAGGGATATGATACCGAGCACGGCCAGCGCTTCCGGTGAGTACTTCTTTATTTTTTTTAGAGATAGTTCAATATACAGGGTGTTCCTTAATGGCATGCTAATATTTAAGGACACGAATCTTGGACTTATTCTAAGAGAAAAACTTCATATAAATATATGTCCTAAACATGTTAATTTCTAATATACAGGGCGGTGATTTTTTCTAAAAAAAACTTTTTTTCATAATAGATTTTATTACAGATATACAGGGTGTCTCAGATTTTAATCGGGATAATTTAATAGACGATAGCACTTGCAAAAATAAAACAAAAAGTTCATATCAACTTGTAAGATTTAAAGCTTCCTTTTCGAGATACAGGGTGTTAAAGTTACTTAAAAAAGAAAGAAAAATTAAGATATTTGAAAAACTATTTAATCGATTTTGATATAACTTGACCCGTTTATAATACTTACTATGGGACTTAATTTGATGTAATTAGATTTAAGTTTAATGGCCAGGGGCGGCGGTGGGGCATCACTGTTAAATTATTTTAAAGGAAAAAATAGGCACGCCACGTGTTTTTTTAGAAGTTTAATATTATTTTTGGATTTAGTAATTAAAAATATAATTTTTTTGTCTCCTGACTTTTTGTCTATTTTGCGTACTTCTTGCCAAAAAAATTAAATTCTAATTGGTAATTAATATTATATATAGTACCCTGTATCTCGAAAAGGAAACTTTAAATCTTACAAGTTGATATGAACTTTTTGTTTTATTTTTGCTAAGTTCTATCGTCTATTAAATTTTCCCGATTAAAATCTGAGACACCATGCATATTTTATACCAACAATCACCTCCTTAAATATTAGCATGTCATTAAGGAACACCCTGTATATGGTGTTTTAAAAAACATGTCATCTCTCGTGGGGAGATTCCTCACGTAAAAAGATTTATTTTTCATATCAACATAGGTCCGATTCTGCTTTGTTTCGTACCTACAGGGTGTTAAAGTCTTTATAATCATACGATTTATTATACTTTTCTTCCAAATACTTTTAGCGATTCGAATAAAATTTTGAGGGTAAAAGTTAATATAAGTGCTACATATTTTAATACTAAAAAAGTGTCGATAAATTCATCAGGGACGTGCATATGGGTTATCACTGGAATATTTTTCAAAAAAAAACATGTGCGCCACTGTTATTTTTTCGTTTGATATCAAAATTGTGTGGGCCGTTTAATGCTAATTAAAAGTTATTTCTTGATATTTTTCCGAATTCGGCCTCCTTGATGAGATAAACGTAATTTTTTTAATTAAAATTAATAAATTATATATTTTACTTAATTTATTATTAGGTATGTAGTATTACTATTAGTCCATCCTACAGCAATTTCAAGTAAAAAAATAATGGTATTTAAGATAATTACAAAATACCTAATTTTTAAAAGTTTTAGCATCCGGTACAGAGTACTTATTTAAAACTTTCGCAAGTTAATATTTTTTTTTTAAAGTTACTATTGACTTGGATCAAGGCAAAATAATAAAATTGCGTTTATCTCATCAAGGAGGCCGAAATCGACAAAATGTCAAGAGACAACTTTTAATCGGCATTAAACTGCTTACACTATTTCGCTAACAAGAGAAAAAAAGTCAGTGACGTACATGCTTTCTTTAGAAAAATATTCCGGTGATAACCCGATATGGTCCCTGGTGAATATGTCGGCAATGTTTTAGCTTTAAAATATGTCGCATTTATAGTAACTTTTACCCTGAAATTGCGATATTTAATTCGGAACGCTAAAAGTACTTGGAAGAAAATTATAATAAATCGAAAAAATATTAAAACTTTAACACCCTGTAGCTACGAAACAAAGCAGAATCGGTCCTATGTTGATATGAAAAATAAATCTTATTTTTATGTGAGGAACCTCCCCACGATAGATGGCACATGTTTTTTGGAACACCCTGTATCCTATGATTTAAAAAAAAAACAGAACCCACTTGTGATACATAATTACAAAAGGGAATATTAAGTTCTATACAACGATGTAAAAATATACAAGGGGTGATTTAAAATTTATGTCTCTTCTGAAAAAACAATAATTGCAATAATATTCAATTATTCTTTATTTTAAAGTTTTAGTTTCTTTCTTCAACACTAATTTATTTCTGTTAAAAAAACCTCAAAAAAATATAAGATATAGATACCAGTAAATAAAATGCTAGAGTAAAGGAAGATATTGATATCTAGATAAAAAAATAACTATTTCTCTATGTCGGAAATAAGTTTTGATAATTATAAAGTATATTGCTGATAACTAAATTTATTGTTATATATAGCTATAGAAGGATTTGGAGGTGTCCCACCAATCAGGCCTTTGGAGACTCTGCACAACGCACTGTCATTAAAACAAATTGATACGTTCCTGGATCAGATGACCATGGCTCAGTTGTATCGTACCCCGTCTTCTACTCCTCCAAAACACCCATCTACGCCACTGCCAACTCCGACTAGCAGTACCGTGACTCAGGGCAAAGGAGAATCGCTGAAACTCCAGTCGCCTGGTAGCAGTAAGTAGCGTTGTGCTAATAAGCTTTTATTTTGGGATAAAGCGCATTCATGTTACAGAATAAAGACCTATTATAATTGCTAAGGGTTACCTTGTTTCATATTTGTGTGTACTATAATGTCAAGTATCACAATTATCGAGTCCTTAAAACTTTAAGATTTAAATCAAGAAATTGTGCGTTGATTATATTACAAGGAGTGTTTAAGAATTCAATTTCCTAAACATAATAATTTCATTCATAAAATTGCATCTATTAACTGACAAACGGGTCTGAAACAGCGAAAGCAATGCAGAACACTACCTAATGTTTAATATAATAAATAATATTTTCTTGCTTTTAGCTGTGTATTTTTTCTAATTTCGAAAAATCGAAAGTAGAGAAAAAAATTTAAAAAAAATAAAAAGTAAAAAGAAAATTGTTTTGCTTGTCGTAAAGGGGGGAACCAAGCTCCACTCCCATAACCGGTTTCTGGGCCTACCCTTCATCAGGTGGGCTGTCCAGGGGCTGGTTCTCACCGATACGGCATTATTACAATTAGAAAAAATACACAGCTAAAGGCAAGAAAATATTATTTAATAATATACACTAAAGCTGTAAGAATTTTGTTAATTTCATATATATTTGAGCGGGCCGAAAAACGCTCTTTACCATCTTTTGACGGGAGATGCACTAATATCTCACCGACACTTTACGACATCGTCTGTTGATATAGAAGAAGTTTTGCTTGCCGTGTCGGTGAGAACCAGCCCCTGGACAGCCCACCTGATGAAGGGGTAGGCCCAGAAACCGGTTGTGGAGTGGAGCTTGGTTCCCCCCCCAGCACGACAAGCAAAACAGTTTTCTTTTTACTTTTTATTTTTTAATTTTTCTCTACTTTCGATTTTTCGAAATTAGAAAAAATACACAGCTAAAGGCAAGAAAATATTATTTATTAATATACACTAAAGCTGTAAGAATTTTGTTCATTTCATGTTTAATATATTGTTACGGATTCCGTGGGTCCACTAATATAAACTTACGATAAAATACTTAACGGATTTATTTTCTCACTATACAGGGTGGTCCGAATAAAACCGTGAAACGTCATATTATACTGCATTGGATACTCTATACTAAATTAAAAAAAAACGTTAATGAACATTATCAACGATAATCAACTAATGATATTAAATAAACATTGGTAGTAACTGTAATACTCAAGTACACTGTAATACTTAAGTATACTAAAAGAAAAAAAAATTGTAAAAAATACCCTAATCCTTTGTATTACCGCTCTTGGCTGCTATACTGTCATTGGGGCTGAATAATATACAGGGTGGTCCGAACTGTATTCCGGAAACTTCGGCAGCATATTCTGCAGATAAAAATAATTAAAAAAGTTCCTATAAATGTATGTCCTAAAATGCTTAGTTTCGGAGATACAGGGCGTAGAAATTTCATTTTTATTTCGATTTTTTCTAAATAATTTCTGAAATAACGTCAATATTTGGATGAAAATTGGGGTCTGGGAGTTTTTTGACATGAGAAATTTGATTTTGATGTCAATATGACTCCTACTTGTAGAGGGCGCCACCTACATATTTTCTTACTAGTTTGAAATTCGCTGGTTTTGGGAAATGCTGTCAACACGAACAGCAGAGGCTCAGATGGGCACCAAAACTGTAGCTGTTAAAACAACGCAAGGAACTCCACAAGGTGGAGTAACCTCCCCTTTGCTGTGGAGCTTGGTGGTGGATGAACTACTAGATGAATAACTCTAGTGGGAATACACTGCATTGGGTATGTCAGATGACATAGTCATGATCGCTCGGGGGGAAACATGAAGGCACCTTGTGTGATATTATCCAAAGAGGACTCCGTATCACTGAGAGATGGTGTAGGACTGTCGGGCTGGGAATCAACTCAGACAAAACCGCGATAGTGCCATTCACCAGAAGGCGAAGTCTGAAAAACTTGAAAAGAATCAACTAGATGGAAAGGAAATACTGCCAACACAGGAAGTTAAATACCTGGGAATAACCCTGGACAGTAAACTCCTGTGGAACAGGCATATTAAGAAACACTACCAGCAAAGCCATAAAGGCTCTCATGATATGCAGAAGACTGGCCGGAAATAGATGGGGCTGCTCCCTAACATTTTGCGCTGGATGTATACCATGATAGTAAGACCCATGATTACTTATGGGCAGTTGCCTGGTACACAAAACTAGAGCAACGGACGGTAAGGCTAAACCTATGCAAAGTCCAGAGACTAGCATGTGTTTGCATCACAGAGCCATGAGAACCTGTCCAACAGCAGCAATGGAGGTCATTCTAAGATCTAACACCACTGCACATTGTCATTGGTAGATATGCCAATGCGACAATGATTAGAATGGTCACTAACGGAATTAGTACTGGGAGAATTGTCAGATCAGGGCTTGGAACACCCTCAAAAAGGAAATACCACTCCTGCAACTCCCAGTGGACGATATGCCAAGAACGTACAACTTTGACAAACATGTCAATGTAGTATTGAGCAATAAGAAGGATTGGAAGAGCGAAACGCTTACCCAGCAGTTAAAAGACCATACCATAACTTGGTATACTGATGCTTCCAAAACCAATACGGGAACAGGGATCAGGTGTTTGGGCCGAGAGCTAATTACTCCGAACCAATGGGCACTTACCCTAGTATCCTACAGGCAGAAATCTACGCTATCGAGAGATGCGTACAACTTATCTTAGATAGGAACTATCGGAAACAAGAAATAGCCATCTTGTCTGATAGTCAAGCAGCGTTAAAGGCGATCAACTCAGTATCAATCAATTCGAAATTGGTCAAAGAATGCATAGAGAAGCTGAATAAATTAGGCAAAGCAAAACAAAGTCCTCTCTACACTGGGTGCCTGCCTGCTCACCAAGGGATAGAAGGCAATGAAAAAGCAAATAATCTAGCTAGGAAAGGAGCGAACACTCCACTAACTGGACCAGAACCGTTCTGCTTTCCAAGTGGTAACCAACTCAAGGCGGAACTCAAGAACTTAGAAGATTCCATCCGCAACCTGGAATGGAAATCTTGCAATGGTCCTAAGACACTCGAAGAAGTTTCTGAGGGCTTATGATCAAGAAAAATCACAGATCTTCCTGGGTCTGAGTAAGAACAATCTTCGGATTGTCACGGGGTTTTTAACAGGACACTGTCTCCTCAATGAACACCTCAGTAGATTGAAACTAAGAAGAAACGGCGAATGCAGATTCTGTGGGGAAGATGGGGAAACACCAGTACACCTCATCACTGAGTGCGCCGAGACGACAACCATTCGTGCCATGAATTTTGGTACGACTGATATTTGGAGATGGAGAACTACCCTCTATAAAACCGTCCCAGATACTAGCTTTTGTCAAAGCTCTGGGACTGTATGATGAGTTATGATTCAAGAAAGGGGGACACAATGGATCTGTAAGGTCGAAGTGATTAACCCCCCTCCCACTCATTCTAAATTCTAAAATTCTACTAGTTTGAAGAGTTATAACTTTTCATCCTTACCGCTATAAAACTACTGAGTAAAAAATATACATTTACGACTTTTTCTACGTAAAAAAGGTCTCTTGGTAAAAATCGCTGTGAGTAATGGTTCCCGAGATATTTGGAATCGAAATTATCAATACCTATCATCACTGACATAAATTAAACATATTGACTAAATAGTTATTAAACTGAAATCATAAATTTGAAATGTTTTTGTGTCAAAAGTTCAACAGAAATTGTTTTATCATAATTTTTCCAAAAAAAAATTATGATTAATTTAAAAAAAATAAAAAGTTCCCAATTTTATCATTGCAATCAAATAACTATCTACTCAACATATGTTTATTTTTTGTCAAAAATGACGTGTGTTCACTATTTCCGTTCTAAATTGCTCGTTGCGATTTTTGCCAAGAGATATTTTTTACGTAAAAAGCCACGGAAATGTATATTTTCTTACTCAGTAGTTTTATACAGGTACGGACGAAAAATTATTACTCTTCAAATGAGTTAAAACACATGTAGGTGGTGCCCTCTACAAATGGGAGTCATATTGACGTCAAAATCAAATTTCTCATGTCAAAAAACTCCCACACACCAATTTTCATCCAAATATTGAGGTTAGTTCAGAAATTATTTGGAAAAAATCGAAATAAAAATGAGACTTGTATACTACATCCTGTATCTACGAACTTTTTTACTTATTTTTACCTGCAGATTATGCTGCCGAAGTTTCCGGAATACAGTTGGGACCACCCTGTATATCTTCATAAAACACTGCGCACCCCTGGATATTTTATGAACGGAATCGGCCACATTTTTTAGAAAACTGTGTTCCCTTTACCGTTGTCCCGTTGTTTCAGATCCGTTTGTCAGACTTATGGGCATAACTTCAAATACTAAGACAAATCATTATTCATTACAACCACTAAAACAAGGTTTTGTGACCAGTTTTTACTGCTTATATTCACAGAATTGTCAGTTGACAGCTTCACAACGGGACATTTCGCGAGGAGAACGCTGGACTTCTTATTACGCTTTCTTTTATTTCTGTATAACGCCTCTAAATTGAGGCGGCTATAAAAAACCTACCTGCAGACGTGACGCGTCACTTTTCTTGCTTCTTTGGCTTTAATGTTTTCGGAGGTATTGGCAGCACGTGATTTCGGTTGAAATACTAAATAAATTTTTGTGTGTTTTGTCTTTTGTAGGCGCCGGCTGGAGTGGCCCACCGAGTTTCGTGTCGAGCAGTGGTCCCTCATCGCCAGGCTTGTCAGACACCAACTCCAAAGAAAGTAGTAGCGACATGTCGTCCAGCATTATAAGTGCTGATGGGTATATAAAAAAAATAAATATTTAAGCCTTTTTATCGTTGGACCAACACCTAGCTTGTCGATTCTCTCTATAGAATCCTCTTGCATGACCAGTATGTGCCTCAATATTAAGTGTAGCATAGGACATGGGCTGTGTTCTTTGTTTTTGTCTAGTTATTTATTTTTCTTTTGGTAAAATCTTAAGTCGGATGGGATACCAGTTCCTGTATATGTATTACGGAAATATATGTGGCTGTTTTAGTTTATGATTTTGTATTATTTTTGAAAAACTGTTTTTTATTTAGAAAGATAAGTTTATTTAGGAATTACACTAACAATATCAGAGTACTTTTATGAAAAATTAGTATTAAAAAATCGAAGAACTCGCTCTTGAAGTGAAAATGAGGATGAATGGTCGACTTCAAAAAAGGGGCTTTTAGCTTACAGGTAAATTAGTTAGCTGTGTAACAATTAATATCGATAGGTCGCTAATTTTAAACTAAATAATTAACACTGTTTAAAAAAACCTTCTACGGAGCGATCAGTAATTGAAATAGTTTGCTGTTCTGATTTTGTTCGTTTGGTTGGTAATACGAATATTTATCATCTATGTTAATCGCAAAACAATTTCCGATGCACGTCATCAACTTTCAGTGACAAGCGATGGCGACAGCGCTGCCAGATTGTGATGGATTTATGAGATGAATCTTAATTTAAAATTAACAAACAACATATTTACTATATCATTTTTTAAAAAGTTTTACGTTTTATTTTTAATTTAATAACTAATATTTTAGTGATTAATTGATTTATTTGTTTTATGTTAAGATTATTATAAGCGTTATTTATTTATTGATGTACAGGGTGGGTCAAATTCGACGCTTTTAAATGGAAACACCCTTTTCTGTAGGAGATAGACAAAAACTAATATCGGTGTCTGGAGCTCAATTTTTGTCAAAAACAAGATGATGAAACCCGCATATCGATATCTGTTACCGTTTCGGAGTTACGGGGTGTTTTTCAAAAATATGCATTTTTAACAAATCGCTGTAACTTTTTTGCTATGGAAAACTTTGTATTTTCATGAAAACATTTCCAAAGCACCTTTTTACGTAGAATTTAATGGTTTAAGTATAATTTTTTTAAAATTAATAATTAAACTTAAAATTTTTTCAAGATAAAGAAAAGTCAAAAATTGACGCCAATGAATTGACATTAATTTGTTAAAAAAATTAGCATCAATACCAATCGTTAATCCTAAAATCCTCTAATACAGTACTGCCAACTATTTCAGCAATCATTGTTGATCGCTCCGTATATTATTGTACTGTCACTGTGTAGGCGTTGCTTCTTCGCACACCGCATTTAATGTTAATTTTCCTTTAAATAACTTTGTTTGTGTAATTTAAGTTGTGGATTAACTGTATTAATATAATTATTTAAGTTAATATTGAACTCTGGGAAGATTTCGACAGATGACATCCAAAAGTGAGAGTAAATTCAATTTTCCTGTTAATTAAAATGACAGACATAAATGTCACTGTCAGGGATCTTCCTGTTGGACATACTATAATTCATATAATGTTGTATAAGTTTTCTAATTTTTTAACATAGAAATATTAAGTAATTATGATAGGGTTTTGAGTAAAATCTCTCTAGGATGAGAATGGACAATTTCGATAAAATATCAAAAAAATCACATAACAGTTACTTTTGAATTGACATAACAGCCAACATCTGTCAGTGTCTTATATTCTATCAGTAAACAGTTTATAAGTTCTTATTCTATACCGGGTGCGTGTCAAAAGTGGCTCACCCTTATCTATATAACTTTTTTATTTTTGCAATTAAAAAAACGAGATTTGGTATGTTAGTATATGACATAAATTAGGATTGATTGACGTATTCAATTGTTTTCGGTCACTTCCTGTTTCACCGGAAATGACTAAAACTTTTGATTTTTAAATGGCACCCTCGGTATTTTTTTACTTTATTCGATAGAAAATGACATTCTGAATAGAATGACATATCATATGTCAACTTTTGACATTTTTGCATATGGTTTATTTGAAATTATAACTTGCGGTTCGTAACGAAAATTTGACTCGAAATACCAAGTGCGTGGTATCAAATTATTCGTAAAAAATGCTTTTTCGAAATATGCTAATGAGCCACCCTCGTTCCATTTGAAAAAATTGAGATATGATAAAAAAAATACGATTTGGGCATTTTCTAACTGGCCAGGACAAGACACTAAAAACATTAGACGACCAAATCTATTTTTCCAAGTCTCCTTGATTAAGAATTAGTGTTTTTAACATAGCCACTCTAGATTGAATTTTAAAATACAATTTTTCATCGAATAAAGTAAAAAATACTTGTAAATAATTGTAGTCATTTCCGGTGAAACAGGAAGTGACCAATGAATGAGTGAAACATTGAAGTGAGTGAACATTGAGTGAAACAGTTGAATACGTCAATCAATCCTAATTTGTGTCATGTACTAACATACCAAATCTCGTTTTTTTTTATCTGAAAAAATAAAAAAGTTATAGAGGTGAGCCACTTTTGAGACGCACCCGGTATAATTACTAAAAAAATATATAAAAAAAGAACGCAGACAAGTTTTTCAGTCGTTTTTGTTTGCTCTGTTTGTATCGCGATAACATGTTTGGTGTTTTTGTTATTGTATAATAGACAACTGTGTAGTAAAAATATGTTATGTTTATAATGTTGTTCTGCTAACTGTTCTGGTTGATGTTTTAGAGTCTATTTTAATCTATGTTTTAATACCGCTTTATATTTTTAGCCTTAATCTTGACGAGTTATCCAAAATATTTCCCACTGCTCCCGGCTTGGATAACGACCTAGGAAGCGTTGGCATGACTCTGGATACGTTGGATAAGGAAATATCCGGATCTATCGAGTTTTCGGAGTTCTATGCTAACTTACATAAACCCCGAGGTAAGTCAAATTAATGAATCATTATTATTAGACATTTTACATCAGCCACTGCTTGATTTTGAAATTGAAATTTTTAAGTTGAAACAGAAGCAAATTTAATAAAGTCTACTTTGTAAATAATAATATCGGAACGCACTCAATTTCCAATTTCGGAACGTACTTGAAATTTTCTAATTATATGAACTGATCTCAGACACCCTAAAAGGGATATTAGAAAAATAATGACGTAACAACGTTGGGAATTTTATTTAAGTGTAAACCTAAAGTATGTATGAGGATGTATTTCAGGAAAATATTTTAACTTCTATAGGGTGGCTCAAAAAAGTGTGAGTGGGACGGGATATTTTTTTTTAAATAGAACACCCTATATAATATTGCATTTTTGGCTTCCTTTTAGATCATTTTACATAATCCTAAGATATGAGCAAATATATTTCGATAGTTTGAGAGATATTAATAAATAAATAAAAAATATATATTTTTTAACCTTCACTAAAAAATTCATTATAAATACAAGAACTGTCCTAAAATCAACACTATATTAGGTATTTACTTTTGATGGTCTATACTTACTTTGCTATAAATATCGTAATCTTATATCATACAGGATGTTCAAAATTCTACGCCAAACTTTCTAAAATATGAAATAATTTTTCTTTGATTTTTCAAGTAGAACACCCTGTATATTATTTTTTCAATAGATGTAGAATTAGAAAATGAACACGTTTTGTATTTAAAGTATTTTAAAATTTTTGATGGTTTCGCAGATACACGCAGTATTATTTCATATAGTAATGCTCTCAATGGTAAAATACGAGAAAAATAATTGGGTGGCTTTGATAAAAATTTACTGTGGAAAATGCCATATGAAATATAAAACCTCGAATATCTGCAAAACCGTTAAAAATTTTGAAATACTCTAAATACAAAAAATGTTAATTTTCTAATTCTCCATCTATTGAAAAATATACACGTGTAACATTTGAAAAAAACGAAGAAAAGTTATTTCATAATTTAGAAAGTTTGGCGTAGAATTTTTAGCATCCTGTATGATTTACGATTACCATATTTATAGCAAAGTAAGTGCAGGCCATCTAAAGTAAATACCTAATATAGTTTTAATTTCAGGACAGTTCTTGTATTTTTAATATTTTTTTTAAGAAAGGCTGTAAATATATATGTTTTTATTTATTTATTAATATCTCTGACACTATCGTATTATATTAACTCATGTCTTAGGATTATGTAAAGTGATCTGAAAGGAAGCTAAAAATGCAATAATATACAGGGTGTTCCGTTTAAAAAAATCATCCCGATCCACTCACACTTTTTTGAGCCACCCTATAGAAATTAAAATATTTTCCTGAAATACATCCTAGAACATACTTTAGGTCTGCACTTAGTTCTCAAGTTTTTTTTATTCTAGGAGTTACAGATGCCCGACACACTATTGTCGGACCCTGTATAGACTATAAAATTTATAATGTCCCCTAATTTTTTATACAGGGTGTCCCACGTAAGATGGATACAAGCCAATATCTTGATTGTTTGTCGAGCGATCTTTTTCATTTTTGGCAGGAGGCTGTATGGCTATAAGACGTACATTTTGCCCAGGGTAAGAAATGCGATACCTCATAGACGTACGTTTTAATGGTGTTTGATATTTTTCGAGTCAAGAGTAAACTACCCTTAGGACAGTATTTATTTCAAATCTGATAAATTATATTGAATCCTCCTTACCTAAGATACTTAAGTTCTATTTTTTATAAATATTGATACAGGGTGTGTCATTAAAATAAGACATTTTTATTTTTATTATTATTTTTTTAAGTACTTTAACGCCATTGGATAAACACCTGGTTTATTATCAATAAGCAATTATATACAATTATCAATTATTAATTATCGATTTAAATTTAGTCGAAGATGGTCGAAAATGTTGACTTTTAAACCACCTCATTTATACGGTTTACCTAAAATACACAAACAGGGTATACCTTTTAGACCTATAGTCAGTAGTATAAATTCTCCATGCCATCCGTTGGCAAAATTTTTACTAGACATAATAAATCCGATTGCAAATAACGCCGATTCATACATTAAAAACACACCACATTTTATAGAAAAAATTTCAAAAATTAATATAACATCTAACAGTTTAATGGGTAGTTTTCGCGTTGTTAGTCTTTTCACTAACGTGCCGGTAGATAAATCACTTAAAATAGTTAGGGATAGATTAGAACAAGATACACATTTAATAGATAGAACAAAATTAAACATAGATAGTATTTTGGAATTGTTGACACTTTGTGTTAAAACTACTTATTTCCAATTAAATAATGAATTTTTTCAACAAGATTTCGGTATGGCAATGGGATCACCTCTCTCTCCTTTGTTAAGTAATATTTTTATGGAAGATTTTGAAAATAATACAATAAATAGTTTTTCAAAAAAGCCTGTAATATGGCTGCGTTATGTTGATGATATTTTTGCAATATGGCAACATAACGTTTCTGAAATAGACATTTTCTTGGATTATATAAATTCTCGCGAATCTACCATAAAATTTATATTAAAAGTAGAGAGAGGTAATCGTTTGCCATTTCTTGATGTTTTAGTGTCAAAGTTTCAAAATAAACTAATTTTAGATGTTTACAGAAAACCCACAAACACAGATAGATACTTAAATTTCACATCTAATCACAGTATAAGTGTAAAAAAATGTGTGATAAAAGGTTTATATGATAGGACAAAAATAATATGTACAGACAACATTTCATTAAATAGAGATATAAACCACATAAAAAATACATTAATCAAAAACGACTATCCACCATATTTTATTGACAAAACATTAAACGAAATACAAGCCCCAAATCATAGACACAATGATAACAATACACAATATATATACAACTTACAATTCCATACACACGAGGCGTTTCGGAAAAATAAGAAGGATAGGAAAACAATATAACATACGAACATCTTTCAAAACACAAAATACACTTAGATCCATTTTATCACATACTAAACCAATCAATACAGAACAACAAACAAAAAATGTAATATACCAAATACCCTGTGAATGCGATAAATTTTACATTGGTGAAATATCTAGACCCTTAAATGTCAGAATTAAAGAACATAAAGATTATTTAAGAAAGGGAGATTTTCACAAATCTAAGATTTGTCAGCATTCTTGGGACACAGAATAAATTTTAATAACGCCAAAATTATAATGAAAGAAGCGATAGCCTCTAAAAGAAAAATAAAAGAGGCTTTTTTAATTCAATCTAATAAAAATAAATGTATTGCTCATGCATCTGTAGATGTTAGTAATGTATGGCAATCGCTTCTTTGATTTTAAAGACATTACATAAATAAACATAACATACGCAAAATTTAAAAATAATCATACAGAAAGTTTGGGCTTTTGGTTTTACCTTATTAAGTAATTATCAGGTAGTAATTGTTAATTTTGAAGTTTAACTTAATATAATGTCATTTTTAACAGAACGTCAACGATTTCTTTGTAGACGTATCTGTTTTAAAAGTAAAGTGTTCTCGAATAGTTCAATTTTAAATATTTTAAATAGTTTTTTTCTTGATTCTTTTGTATTTTTTACCGACGACGGAAAGAGAAAACTTTCCGAAACGTTAAGCATTTTTTTCTTTGTTAGGCAATTTTATTACTGTAAACACAACTTCTGACAAGCAGCGTCCGTTTAGGTTTAACGCAGAAGTGTTTACAAAAAATAACTATTTTATTTTGTAGATTTTTCTTGCAGTGCAATGGCGAAAAACCCATAAGGATTTTTTTGGATAGATGAATCCGCCACATAGGTATAGACATTTTTTTAATAGTGATTGTTTTAAGTAACTATTTGGATTTTTTTTAAATATTCCTCTATAAAACGAATAAAAATCATATTTCAGATTCCATTGAAAACTGGATTTATAAATTATTTTGTAACTCATTTCTATTAGCAACCTTAAAGAACAATTTTTTAAAGTAAACAAAATAAATTGAAAATATTTAGTTTTTTTGTATCGTATCTTAATTATTATGGAAGCTATCTGAAAACTTAAATCGATTATTAATTGATAATTGGTTACAATTGGTTATTGATAATAAACTAGTTGTTTATCCAGTGGCGTCGTATGTACTTAAAAATAATAAAAATAAAATGTCTTATTTGACTTTTGATAAATATTGATACACATCCTGTATCGATATTTATCAAAATTAGAACTTAAGTATCTTGGGTAAGGAAGATTCAATCCTTGTATATATATTTTTAAAGTAGATCAACCTAAGACGTTTATGGACTAAGACTAATAGATGGCAGGACCGGTTTCCCTACAGAAAAATATTTTTTGTTACTCTGAATTTTGAAGCTACCAATAAAAACAGAGAAAATAAAAATCGATAATTTTCGGACTGTGCCAATTGGTTACTATTCGACCAGATACTTTTTATCTATTAGATATGCTATAAAAGCTGGCAATTATACAATTCGACCATTGTAAATACCCGACAAATTCTTCAAGGCCGACAAGGCCGATGCTTCTCACTGATAAGAAATAAAAATGTTTGTTTAGATAATTTTCGAGGTATTTTTTCTCCCTGAATGCACATTTTAAAGTATTTTATATTCTTTGGTCCCTTGACCTATTATCCTGGTTGCACGTATGGAAGTTCTGTTTCTTCTAGTTTTAGAAAATGTTCATATTTCTTTTTTCTTTGTAGGTGTAGTGTAAAATTAGATTAATTTATTAAGTTTAATTATAATGTTTAGTGTAGCATGTTAGTGTAGTCTACCAAAAATAGTTTAGTAGTGTTTTTATAGTTTATTTTGTAGTTAAGTAATAGGTGAAGGGATAATTTTGTTATTTTTTCTTTTTGTTTGATAAATTAGTAAGTTTGATAATTTGTTCAGTGTAGAATACAAGAATAAGTAGTTGTCTAGTGTTTTTAAGAGATTATATTCGTTTATTTTGTAGTTGAGTAGTAGGTGAAGGCGTATTTGGGTATTTCTTCTTTTTGTTTTTCTTGTAATAATTGTAGTAGTTCTATTAAGTATTGTGATAGATACACTATATCTTCCTTCAACTTTGTTGAAAAGTGCGTTATCATATAATCTTGGTTTTCTGGTAGCAGAATATACGAAAAAAAATCTGATCAAATTTATTTGAAATTAAATTAATCTAGCCTTATTAATCAAATTAAACTAGTCAAATAATAACAATAGTTAGTTTCAAAATACTATACAGGGTGAGTTTTTTACGATGTTCTCTATGGGCATCTCGGAAACTACTGGAGATAGAGAGTCGGTTAATGGGGAAAGAATTGCAGTTTTGTGGGGTCATAAATATGCGCCTTTCGGATTTTTCGGAGAAGTTCAAGGCTTATTAGATATTTCGAAAAAAACAAATTTTGGCTATTTTAAAACTTGTCTCTAATTCCATTTAATCTACCGTATGATCGAATAAAAACGGCGTCAACGATGGCTATGAAGTGAAGATCGCTGTCATTTTATATGTAAAATTATATGGGAAATATCATTGATCGTCATTTCATAGCCATCGCTGACGCCGTTTTTATTCGATCATACGGTATTTTAGACAAAAAGTTTTCAGATAAAAGTTGTAGATAATCACATACCTAATGAGTTTGTGTTTTCTGTTTTTATTTCTAAAGTCATTTTAGACATATGACACAAACATATGTTTTTTTAGTAAACCATATTTGGCCATGACTTCATAAAAAGCGCCATTTTTTAAGTTTTCAGCGATAGGTATAATATGTTTTTTTTTCGAAAAATTACAAGTTATAGCCAATTCTTTTCTTTCTTGGTTAATTTCCATAACAATAATACCATGCCAATTAGTTAGCATCAAAAATGTAAAAAGTTTTATGTTTTCAAAAAAAAATATCGTAAAATTCGTAAAGCACTCAATTTAGAATAAAATAATCTAAGAATGAAATGATTCTTTTGTAAACCTGCATTAAATCAAATTAAAATAGGTATGTAACTTTTTTTTAAATATTAATTAACAGCCAATTAGCTTTATCATAAATTATAAATAATGTACCAACATATCGAAATAATAATTTCTTTGTTAATACGGTTTAGATTTCTTAAAATAACAGGCAAAAATAATCCACAATTTACAGTAAAATAAAAGTTTCGTTTAAATTTCTTAATCAGCTGATCACTATTAAAGTTCGCAGATACCCGGGCTGTATTATTACATTACTCTGAGGAAAATAACGAAAATAATCGATATTTTTGACTCCGCCCCGAAAGGTTCACGATTTGTCCTCCAGTTAGCAGCACATTTTGTCTAGTCGGTTGACCAACTTTAAGAATATATAAACAAGGATTCAATATAATTTATCAGATTTGAAATAAATACTGTCCTAAGGGTAGTTTACTCTTGACTCGAAAAATATCAAACCCCATTCAAACGTACGTCTATGAGGTATCGCATTTCTTACCATGAGCAAAATGTAGGTCTTATAGCCATACAGCCGCCTGCCAAAAATGAAAAAGATCGCTCAACAAACAACCAAGATATTGGCTTGTATCCATCTTAAGTGGGACACCCTGTATGTATGCAATCATGTCGCCAATATCAAAAACTATATATACAATAGTAAAATTATTTGTTTATTTCTAGAAGAAAGCGGGGAGATCACTCCAATATCTTACGGCTCGGAAATAGATTTTAATACGAACGAAGCCACAGCCGGCTCATCCTCGGCACTAGAATTCGATTTCACCCTCACCGAAGACCTAGACAAAGAAGACAACTCTGATACCCTAACCAGTCAAGCTTCTAAATCTTTTATCGACAACTGCAACGCACTAAGAACAAGTTTGACCGAGAGCGGCAGTTCTGGTTCTATCACCCCTAAAGTTATATCACCCTCAACAGCGAATATCAGCGTTTACAATAACATTCTTCGATCAAACGATTACTACAATATGAAACCTATTTCTAACATCAAAAGAGCCCACTCCCTTTACACCAAGACCAGTGACATGAACCCATCAGACCTTAAAAACTTAGTGATGGACTTCAGTAAATTCGAAAAAGATGTATCTAGTACAAACACAAACGTCAACATAGCTAACGTGGGTTGCCTGAAATGGAGCACAAGCAAGGAGAAGTTTTTCGACATCACCAAAGACAACAAAACCGAAAATATTGACTTTGGAAAGAATTTAAACACTGGCGCTACCAAGAAATTAGAAAAAGACACGGATCTATTGACCAAACTCACGCCAGGCACTATTTTAGTTAAAGAGACCTACATAGAACCGCCTAAGATATCTAGGGTGTCGAGGAGTTTTCATGGTAAATCTCCCACAAGTAATAGTTATTTAGATATTTGTGGGGTTCCCAGAAGGGCTAGCGATATTCCGTTTAGTAGTAGAACGCAAAACGAGGCGACTGGGGGTTTTAGTAAACTAGAGGGAGTGTTCATAGGGAAGGGTACAGAAGCAGGAATGAGAAATAGACCGCAGTTTTTGACGCAGATGTCACAGCCTTGTGGAGAGAGTTCCAGAGTATCGGGGACTATGCCGAGGAAAACATCATTGACGACTGAATCGGTAAGGCTACAATTTTAGTTTTGTAAAAGTGAAATCATTTTTTATTATACAGGGTGGTCCGAACTGTAGTATTCCGGAAACTTCGGCAGCATATTCTGCAGATAAATATAAGTAAAAAAGTTAAAATAAATCTATGTCCTAAACGCTTAGTTTCGGAGATACAGGGTGTAGAAGTTTCATTTTTATTTCAATTTTTTTCAAATAATTTCTAAAGTAATGTCAATATCTGGTTGAAAATTGGTGTCTAGGAATCCCATGAGAAATTTGATTTTGATGTCAATATGACTCCTATTTGTAGGGGGCGCCACCTACAAGTTGACATGTTTAATTTATGTCAGTGATGACAGGTATTGATAATTTCGATTCCAAATATCTCGAGAACCATTACAGCGATTTTTACCAAGAGCCGTTTTTTACGTAAAAAACGTCGTAAATGTATATTTTTTTACTCAGCAGTTTTATACAGGTACGGACGAAAAGTTATTAATCTTCAAACCAGTTAAAAAAATTGTAGGTGGCGCCCTCGACAAGTCATAGGAATTCAAAAAATTGGCTTCAAAATCAAATTTCTCATGCCAAAAAACTCCCAGACACCAATTTTCATCCAAATATTGACGTTACTTCAGAAATTATATGGAAAAAATCGAAATAAAAATGAAACTTCTACACCCTGTATCTCCGAAACTAAGCATTTTAGGACATACATTTATACGAACTTTTTTACTTATTTTTATCTGCAGAATATTCTGCCGAAGTTTCCGGAATACAGTTCGGACCACCCTGTATATATGGTGCTTTTTAGGGTTCCGTACCCAAATGGAAAAAACGGGAACCCTATTACTAAGAGTTTGCTGTCCGTCCGTCCGTCCGTCTGTCACAAAGGTCTATCTTATAAACCGTTATAGCTAGACAGTTCAAATTTTTACAGATAACGTATCTATGTTGCCGCTATAAGAACAAATACTAAAAACAGAGTTAAATAAATGTTTGTAAATAAAAAAGTACTTTCACTAAACATTATCTTTTAAGTAAGAATTTTACATAGAATCTTTCAAGTCCTCGGTGGCCGCGTGGTTTAAAGCGTTAGGACTTTACGCTGCTATGACGTTGGAGCCGTAGTAAAGCAGGTTCGAATCCTAGTCAAGGCGACTTTTTATTAATCGTTTTTTTTTAATTTTTACATATTTTTACATATTTATTATTGATTAATACTAATTTTTAGTAATGTGTTTCTTCATTTTTTTTAAATTACTATTAAAATTATTGTTTATTATTTGTTTAACTTATACGCGCATTCAAAACTTCAGCTAAATCGGAAAAAAGTTTATAATAATATAGTGAATAATGTATAGATAATGAATGGTACGGAACCCTTGATGCGCGAGTGCGACTCGCACTTGACCAATTTTTTCTAAATATTTTTAAGAATTAATTTATATTTTGATAGGCCAGCAAGCATCCCCGTTTCACAACTACAAAAGTGGACGAAGCAGAACACGCAGCTTCTATCGGTTTGAACAATAATTGGCCTAGGAAGAGCAAGAACAGTAAGGAACAAAATTCGGAAAATGCAAATAAGGATAAAAATTTAGATTTTAGAGATGATTAGTATTAGTTACTGCTGAATTCCTAATAGCTTTAACCGGTTTTGTTCGTTAAAAAATGTTATATTGTTACAGACAGTACTTTTGATTAAGTTATAATCAACGTTACCTGGTTTTATAATGTAGTATTTAAGTACACCAGTATTGTTTTAAGATTAACTTTATTTTATATTAAAAATATTTTTTTTCAAGGATCCTTGTTTTGTTTATACCCAAGAGTTCATAGTTAATATTAAAATGAGATAAAAGTTAGGTTAGGTTACATTTCTTCTATGCGGTATAGCCGGATTTTTGCATCAAAATTTCAAACCGCACAGGGCCCGTATTCTGTAACTTTGACATAAAAACGTTACGCTTTCAAAGCCGTGAGCGCAGGTATTCGATCAGCGAAACGCAAGGCAGTCGATTTTGGTATTCTCGTTGCCATGCGAATCGTGTTCTGGATACGCGTTGAGCACATATTGGCAACATCACAATTTCTAATGTAGCTAATAGTGAAAAGTTGACAACTGACGGATGGAACAATGAAAAATGTCAATGTAACGTGAATTTCATAACCTATTGTTGAGTTATGTCAAGCTATTTTTCTATGGATGTCATTATTCTTATTATTTTTCTCAGCATTTTCGATGTTTTGAACAATATTTATAGCTGCCAAGTCGTAAATTATCAATTACTTATTGAGGAATTTATAGAAGAAGTAGTAATTTTCACTAAAGAGCAAAATAACGCATAAAATCACAATTTTTTCGATTTTCACTGACAGTTCGACAAGCAAAACGATCCTTTAAGGCAACCGTTTTCAAAGCGCTCAGCGCAATCAGTAAAGACGCTAAGCGCGTCAGACGAGAATACCGAAATCGTTAATTAAGTGCGCGCTCAGCGAAAATTAACGTCATATACGCTGAGCGTCTAAAAGCGCTTAGCGTTTTCGAAGTTACAGAATACGGGCCCAGTAAGTGTTTACGAACAGTCCATGTTATTTTATACGGTCAATTTTAAATATCTGTGTTTTAGAAAGATTTGTATTATGCAGCAAATTAGAAATCTGCTTGTCTGTCATCTGTATTTGTTTCCAAATGATTTCATTTATTATTTTATTTGACTGTAAAATCATTTTGGCACATAAAATCTATTAGGCAGTGGCAATTGGAAATCTGGCAATATTGTGTACGGTTATTGTTTTAGCTAATTCGCCAGTCGTTGACTCGCCTATCGGGAAGAAATAATGATTGACAGATTATTCGTTTTGCAGGTTTGTTAACGTGTCTAATAAAAACTAATCGTCGTCAGGATTGTGAGAGTGTAGTGCTGATATAAATTGCCGTTTCAGAATATCTATAAATAATTAAATTTATTTGCTGTTATTTGAATTTTCTTTTGTTTGAGTTTAAAGTTAAACTACGTTGGACAGTAAATTTTATATACCGATTTATTATTATTGTACATATATTATGTAATACATACGTTTTTTTTAGTTTTTTTTGGGTTCCGTACCCAAAGGGTAAAAAAGGGAACCCTATTACTAAGACTTCACTATCCGTCCGTCCATCCGTCTGTCACAAAGGTCTATCTTATGAACCGTTATAGCTAGACAGTTGAAATTTTCACAGATATTAGTAGTATTCTTTCGTTCTAAACGAACTGAAAATTTTCACGTAAACTGATTTATTTCCTATACCACATAAAGGGAATAAATCAGTTTAAGTGAAAATTTTCAGTTCGTTCAGAACGAAAGAATACTACTAATGTATCTATGTTGCCGCTATAAGAACAAATACCGTATGATCGAATAAAAACGGCGTCAGCGATGGCTATGAAATGAAGATCGCTGTCATTTTATATGTAAATTTATATAGGAAATGCCATCGATCGTCATTTCCAAGCCAACTGGACGCCGTTTTTATTCGATCATACGGTACTAAAAACAGAATTAAATAAATGTTTATAAATAAAAAAGTACTTTCACTAAACATTATCTTTTAAGTAAGAATTTTACAGAGAATCTTTCAAGTTCTCGGTGTCCGCGTGGTTAAAGCGTTAGGACTTTACGCTGCTATGGCGTTGGAGCCGTAGTAAGGCAGGTTCGAATCCTAGTCAAGGCGACTTTTTTTTAATCGTTTTTTTTTTTAATTTTTACATATTTATTTTTACTTTTTACATATTTACTCGCATAGTTATTATTGATTAATACAATTTTTAGTAATGCGTTTCTTCATTTTTTTTAAATTACTTATAATTATACGCGCCTTCAAAATTTCCGCTAAATCGGAAAAAAGTTTATAATAATATAGTGTCTAATTTTGTATATATAATGAATGGTACGGAACCTTTCGTGCGCGAGTCTGACTCGCATTTGACCAATTTTTTCATATTTTTGATTCTGTTGCCTACCCTACTGTAAATGGTACTGCACGCCACTGCTCTCTACCAGAAAGGAGCATTATTCAATAGCTTAGATATATTCTCGTTTATTATTTTATTTTTTGTACGAACCGGCAACACTGTATGCCGCTTTTTATCGTCTCTGTCTGTCAACTGAATTGGTCGTATACATTTATCTCTGTCGTGTGCATTAAAATACAGCCACGTTAAAAACGGAAATGACGCAATGCAAATGTACAGGGATAGAAAATAAAAGGCATGTATAAAGCGGCACACAAATATATTTTTATGAAGTTAATTACCCAAAAAATAAACATATTGTAAAAATGACAAAAGTAAAATTCACTCAATAAAATATTCTATTATCGAAAAAACAAGCTACAATGAGGGTTAACTCTAACTTAGTATAGCATAAAAGGCTATTCCAAAATTGACTTCATTTACCAACTAAATTGTTCATAGGAAATAATAGTCCTAAACAGTCACACATCACAGAGATAATGTGTTGTTATAAAACATCAATACAAAACAGAAAGAAAACTAAACCTTATGTATTTCAACAGAAACAGGTACGTGCAATATTTTATTGACCCTATAAACGTTTTATTATATATCTTTTTCTCGATTATCGTACAAAATTCTAATCTAATTGCATCTCTTCGTCATCGTCGTCTTTTTTGTTATCCTTTTTCGCGCCTTTGTTCTTATCTTTGTTGGCTTGGTCGGAGCTAGCCGAACCGGATGAAGACTTTTCCAAGGCTTTGACGAACTCCTGCATGTTGCCTGAAGTCGCAGCCGCAACGGCTTCAGGGTTCACCGCCAGCTGCGATACTACCGGACCCAATTGACCCGATTCCAGAGCGCTAGAAAACTGAGACACGGCCTGAAAAAGAAAGGAAGAAGTTGAGGATCGTTTTCCAACCATGGACATATACTGGCACACAGGGCTAGAATTGCAATCTACAATTAAAGTTATATATCGTAGTTCTTCTTTTGTAAATAAATAAACTCGTACTTTAATTTAAATTTGATGGTTATGCTTAATTTCCATAGTAAAATCGTTTTTTTGTACTGCTAATCTAACATAGAAGGCTATGGAAAACAAAAGTTTAGTTTACGTCAGTTGACAGCCTGCCATTTAAGTTTCCATTTGGCTCCCGTTTTCTGTCCCTGAAGGCTGTGAATGCGCGTATTTATTTACAAATTACTGTAAGTCATGCTGATACCTTACTAATTTACGTTAAAACTGCATATAATTAAGTAATTGATATTGAAATAATACAATTCTCTATTTTTTATATTTATTTAGTCACGTTATCTCATATTTCAAATAAATATGTTTGATAAATTTTTATTTTGTTTTATTTATGATAAGAAGAAATACAACAGACATTTCAACTGAAAGAGGGCCCGCCATTGAATAACCGGAAACGGAAATAAAAATGAAGCCATCATGTCAACATGTCAATTGGAAAATTAGTTCCCCAGACGATCACAATCGTTTTTGGTGGCGTATCGTGTTTCCACGATTTAACACAGAGTTGACACTTCTTTCTAGTTAATTATTTTATGCGATTCGCATTATGTAAATACCGACACAAAAGCAAGAGTTCCCAGCCTTCCCCTAGGAGATGCAAGACTTTGTCGTTGGTGGGGAAGCTCCTGGTCAGGTGCTGGGGGAATCCCCTCTAGCACTTGGCTTGGTTTAAGAAGCATCTCACTCATCGTCTTGTCCCTGACTGTAGTGTCGTGGCCAGGGAATTGCACCAAGACATATAACGATACCGGGCGGGGCTACGGAAAGCCTCAACCTTGGGGCACCGGGGGGCACCCCATTGTATTTTACCCCCTACTTCTACATGCGGGGCTCTGTAGAAGTGGACCGACTGTCCCTAGCGACTCATAGGAACACTATGAGATCTGATAATAATAGTAATAAAAACATCACCGGTGAAGCTGTGGGGAAACCCCCTAGCGACACTGGGAACAGTTAACAATGAAAGTTCCAAGGGGCAAACCCAAAGAGAACTACAGGAGATGTGGCTGACACTTGCGTGAGACCATCCTCCGCAAATGCCATACAAGCTACCACCTCCTCCAAGGGTTGGGAGCCTACCTCCTACCTCTAAACCCAACAGGCGACACAAGCTACCGTTTCGTCTACCCGGCCTGGGTCGTAGCTCCTCGACTGTGAGGGACACGGGTCTCCGTAGGAAGTCCTGGGGCTGTATGATGAGTTATAACTCAAGAAAGGGGGACACAATAGATCTCTAAGGTCGCAGAGATTAACCCCCCTCTCACTTATTCTAATTCTAAAGAGTTCCCAGCGCGGCTTTTACCAATATATATATATGTTACATTAAAAGTTGGAAATCAATGACTGTTAACAATTACTAGTAAAAGCTCATATTCACTGATTTGCTAAGACTATGCCAGTAAAAGTTCAACATATATTTTTAAAACCAACTTTTACTAGGAATGCTAGCATTCCCTGGACGATAGCAGTGAGTTTGAAAGATTCAGTTAGCGCGGTTGACACATGTGAAATATAAGGATAAGTTGAATAATAGGCAATATAAGGAAAACATTAAACTAGGTTAAACGATGGCAACGTTGACAGACATCTGGCGTAAATTCGCTTTGTTTTTTGTGGTTATGTATAATTGTTTTGTTATCGTTGTAAGAAGTGCTGTGCAATATTTTCCCTATGAAAGAAAATTTCTGTGAAAAATTAAGGTAAACTAGGCACTCGCAAGAATGTATTAGTGCTTGTTTTTCATTTTTGCAATGTAATGAAGTCATAGCAAAAGTTAAGAGTACAAGAGAAAAATATATTAAGAAACCTAGTGACTAGACATTTATTAAACGTTTTAATATGCTTGAAGTAGCGGGTTTGAAAAAACTAATAACTCCAGCTGAACACAATTCGGGCATACTTTATTTTGTCTACGATGAAGAACTTTATTAAAAAAATCTTGTACCAATAAGTAATCTTATGTTTATGAATGCTTTTTTTTAATTGTCTTGTATGCTTTAAAATGTTTACTATATTTTCCCCTTTAATATTCAGAAGATTATGTCGTTATTTTTATAATTTTTAATAAATATACTAAAGAAGTAAATTGTAATTTTAAGATATGTGGATCAGCTTGAATATTGAGGTGATCCAATATTCTTAAAAGTTTTATTTATTCTAACTTCCATCAACATTCTTCCTCACCACACTCGCCAAGTACATAGAGTAGAATAACTTTTACTGGCAACCTTTAGTAAATGTTACTTTCACTAAAAAAAAATAAATGTTAGAAATTACTAGGAAAAGTCGATTAAATCTCTTTAAAATACCACATTCACTGGTCCAATGCGTAATTGCTAGCATTTCCTAGTGAATGTTAATAATTAGTGAATTTCCGACTTTCACTGTAACATATATAATACACAGAAAATGATATGAAATAAAACTTTCAGGATTAGACAGATTTCTACTACTTGCCTGTTGAAACTGGGGCGAGGTTAGTGTCGATCTTAAGGCTTCTTGGGTACTGCCGTCGATCGGAGGCAGATGCTCTTGTAATTGATGCAAAGCTTCGGGATTATTTATAATGCTTGAGAGAGTATCAGTGGTCAGTGCACCCGACAAGTCCACTGTAAAAATGGAAAAATATAAATAAGGAACGAATATAAAGATTATAAGAAATATAATTTTTCCATATTACACAAAATTCAACAGGTTTTAGAATATATTTTTTAATTAGATCAAATAAAAAAAATACAGGAGGAGTCTAATACTATTTTAATATTCATGAATTATACAGGGAATATGAACTTGCCACAATCTACTTTCGAAAAGACTTTCTTTCAAAATTTCTTGATATTTTGACACATTAACTGTGCCTTCTACCAACTCCTGGACTCCTGGACCAACTTCCTGGACTCATTGTGGACATACACCGTCAAATCATAATGCCTTTAGGAAATTTCACTGTCCTTTTGATGCAGTCTTTATCAAATAGACACTCTAGTGATGTTCGATTATATTTATTATACGCTTGGTGCATTCTCCGCCGGTGCTGCCACCATCGTGAAAATTTCTGATTCCTGCCGTATACAGCGCCGCGGTCGGGATTTTTTGAAATCAACTGATATGCACCAAGCCTATAAAAGGTAGAGGAAATTATAACGTCTTAATTCGGCGTTAATAACTTCCCAAGGGAGTAACCAAGATGGTATAAGCTTATATTAATTCAGAAGGAAAAAAAAAAAAAAATCCAATTTCTCACAAGGGGTGTAAATGAATTAGTGCTATAAAATTTAGAATGTGATTGGATTTTTTCTCGAGTATGTATTGCATGGAAAAATTATATATCAATGTATGTGTGTAATGTATTTCAACCTCCAGTAACAGGTCTGTATTTTCATAGAAAACTGTCTGTACCTGATTGCGCTGGAGGAGCTGCAGCCGTAGACGATATCCCGTGCAGGAAATTCTGCAAATCGGCTAATTGAATTGGGGCCGACGTGGGGGCCGTTTCTGGCGGTTTTGCGGCAGCTGCCGATGATCGGGTCACCCTGGTAGGGGCGGTCGGGGTTCTCACCTAATAGAAAATACCGTGTAAGGTTTAAATATTTAGATATCACCTCTTAATGGCCTCAAAGGAATATTAACACTACCGTATAAAAATCTATGTAGTAGATTAACATTTGCCGATTCTTTTCTTTTAGATAGACAATGGTCCCATAACCAAAGATCCAAACTGCTCTATACTTAGATTTTATAACCTATTATTAGTCCAAGAAAATAGGCCTCTTTAAATAAAAAGTTTTGGTAAAACTTGAATTTTTGATGTAAGTTACTTTGAAAGATCTAAAAACGAATTGTGAAAGATTTTTTTTTAAATTCACCCCAAGAAGGGGTGAAATAAATAAAATTATTTTTTATTATATATACAGGGTGGTTCGAACTGTACTCCGGAAACTTCGGCAGCATATTCTACAGATCAAAATAAGTAAAAAAGTTTGTATAAATGTATGTCCTAAAATGCTTAGTTTCGGAGATACAGGGTGTAGAAGTTTCATTTTTATTTCGATTTTTTCCAAATAATTTCTGATGTAACATCAATATTTGGATGAAAATTGGTATCTGGGTGTTTTGTGACACGAGAAATTTGATTTTCATGTCAAAATTACTCCTATTTGTAGGGGGCGCCACCTACATGTGTTTTAACTGTTTTGAAGAGTAATAACTTTTCGACCGTACCTGTATAAAACCACTGACTAAAAAAATATAAATTTCCATGACTTTTTATGTAAAAAATGTCTCTTGGTAAAAATCGCTACGAGCAACCGTTCTCAAGATATTTAGAATGGGAATAGTCAATACATGTCATTATTGACAAAAAATAAGCACACGTTAAGTATAGTTATTTGACTGAAATAATAAATTTTTATTTTTTTAAATTAATCATAAGTTTTTCTGCGAAAAAATGATGATTAAACAGTTTCTTTTGAACTTTTGATACAAAAAAATTTCAAATTTATGATTTCAGTCTAATAACTAGGTATTTAGTCAACAAGTTTAATTTATGTCAATGATGACAGGTATTGATAATTTCGATTCCAAATATCTCGAGAAGCGTTACTCGTGGCGATTTTTACCAAGAAACCTTTTTTATGTAAAAAAAAGTCGTAAATGTATATTTTTTTACTCAGTAGTTTTATACAGGTACCGACGAAAAGTTATTACTCTTCAAAACAGTTAAAACACATGTAGGTGCCGCCACCTACAAATGGGTGTCATATTGACATCAAAATCAAATTTCTCATGTCAAAAAACACCGATCCATCAATTTTCATCCAAATATTGACCTTACTTCACAAATTGTTTAAAAAAAATCGAAATAAAAATGAAACTTCTACACCCTGTATCTCCGAAACTAAGTATTTGTGGACATACATTTATACGAACTTTTTTACTTATTTTTATCTGCAGAATATGCTGCCGAAGTTTCCGGAATACAGTTCGGGCCACCCTGTATATATTTCGGAGAACTAGAAACAAAAAGTTATATATTAATTTTAGATAAAAATTATCTCTATACTTTTTTTGCTCAGATAAAAATTAACCCAGATAGGTTGGCTAGAAGCACAGAATATCTAGCTACGCAACAGAAGCCTCGTTACATGTATAAAATTGTAGGTCTCAAAAGCTTTTAAAGCCTGTCTCCAAATCAGATATTTTGATGCGGTAGTTTCACTACTACATTACAGAGGTTAAAATTAAATTTAAAAGAAAACAGTTATCTACAAACGAAATTTAAAAGAATTTTATGCAGTGTTGCTATTGTGTAATTTATATTGTAATACTTCCTGATAAAGCCTAGCTTCTAATTTGCTACATCATTTAAACATATTAAAATAAATTAGAGCTCTTTTTTCAAACGTTTAAGTATTTAACTTGCCATGTTAGTTGGAGTTAAATCTTACGAGCTGAATTAAAATCACTTCCTGACGTTTGATTCTAACTGAATCCTGAATTTTGATTGTAATTCGGCGACAATATAATAAGTATTGTTCTACTATGATGACACCACTTCCTGACGTTCGATTGTGTTCATATGATTGGGAAAAACGGCATTAGCGATGGCTGTGAAATGAAAATCCCTGTCATTTTATGTGTAAATTTATATGGGAAATGTCATCGATCGTCTTTTCCCAGCTAACTGGACGCCGTTTTTTTCGGTATCATACGGTATTTGATATATACTTGCGTATTTTTCATGACATTGCAATATTATGGTACCATGAAGCATATCAAGTGATACCGTAATATAGTACCATATTACGATACATGGCGTTCGATTGGGCTTAAATTTGGTATATTACGTATCTTCAGTGACATTGTAATATTATGGTACCATGAAGCATATCAAGAGGTACCATAATAGTACCATATACGATACCATTTCCTGGCGTGCGATTGGACTTATACTTGGTATAGTAAGTATCTTCGGTGACATTGTAATATCATGGTATTATGATGCATATAAAGTGGTACCTTAATATAGTACCACATATTACGATACCACTTCCTGACATTGCAATATTATGGTACCATGAAGCATATCAAGGGGTACCATAATGTAGTACCATATTACAGTACCATTTCCTGGCGTTCGATTGGGCCCAAATTTGATATACTTGTGTTTCTTTATAAAGATTTGTTTAATTAATAATTTTAATTTATTTTACGAATTTTAATTTATTGTACGATGTCGCGACAGCAACTTTTATGCCGAACTAATATATTATTAATTGTACCTGTGTCACTTTTGAAAATCTACCTAGGTCTATATAAATAACGTAGCAAACAGAAAAAATTTGTTATTATAGTATTTTTTTAGTCAATTAACATTTTTTGTACTGCATTTTAATAAATTATTTCCATTATTATTAAACGTATATTTCATTACTAACGTTTCAGCATTAATAGATATCACTATCAATCGCCCTGTATATTATTAATTTTAAAGGTAATTAAAGTTATTTTCTTAGTTAACATAATAAAGTAGTGTATATTAAAAATGTATTTTGAGAGCATATGTTTTCTAATAATATACTTAAAATTAAAACTATTTTAAAGAAAGAAATTATTATACACCAGAAAAAGAATGGGATGCCAATTAAAGTCTGAATCTGGCAACTGTGCATATTTAGCCGAGCTTTAAGGCCGTCGACGTGCCGTCGATCTACGTCGATCCAAAACCGAAAGTTGAAAATTTCCAATTATATTCTGATTATGATATTGTCGCGCCATCTAGTATTTTATTTGTGCAATTTTAGCTCTTTCATTTCGAGTATTTTTCTGTTGTGTAGCTAGATCTTCTGTGCTAGAAGCTAGGGAATGATGATAGAAATTTAAAAAAATATAAGTTGCTGAAAAATTCATATATTTAACATTTTTATTCAATTAGGAAAATTATAAATTTCAATTAAGACTTTTTTCTCAATTCACCCCGAGAAAGGGGTGAAAAATAAATAAAATGGCAAAAAAAGGATAGAGACCATTTTTATGCAAAATTGGACGCTCTACAGCTTTCATTTGAACTTTTTTTCTAGTCCTTACCGTTATTCCGAAATTTCGAAAAAAATAATTTTATTTATTTATTTCACCCCTTCTCGGGGGTGAATTTAAACAAATCTTTCACGATTCGTTTTTAGACCTTTCAAAGTAACATATTATCAAAAATTCAAGTTTTTACCAAAACTTTGTATTTGAAGGCCTATTTCCCTGGACTATTATCTGGCAAACAGATCTGAAGCAGCGAAAGGAATGCCCGGCAAAAACAAATCGATGTTGTCAAGTATACAAAACCAAAATTGCTCGATATTGCAGTGGCGTGCAGTGCTAATCAAATCGGCGTCGAATAAAAATAGCATAAATAATTAATTGCTATATATTTTCCTTAAATTGGGAGACCATTTCAGATTCGGCATCGCTGCGGGGGACAGCGGTCGACACCGACTAAACTAAATCACATTGGCCTTCCAGTCATTGCGGTCTTCAGAGTAGGCGAAATATTTGTAAAGCCGCAACCTTTACTCTCCCAAAATTAGAGACAATATAATGTAAATCAATTCATTACTGTTCTTTTTAGAACCTACTTTTGTACAAAGTATACAAGATAGCTTAATAGCCGTAAAAAACTCATCGCAATTTTATTAGAATATTTTGAACGGGAAAGCGGTAGTAATGGCCCTTTATGTCCCTCAAGTCTGTTAAAAAAGTGAGTTTTGTTGATGTAAAACTAAATAAAAAAATGAAAAATAATATACAGGGTGGCGCATCTCATTCGCCTCGGTTGATTATACGAAAACGGAAAGATCTAGAAACAAAATATTTTATGGGTATATGTGGGGAGGCAATGTGCAGAATTTAAAATTATTTTGAAATATACAGGGTGTGTCAGAACTGAGATCTATACCAAAGTTATATTTTTTTCTTATGTAACACCCGGTATTTTATTTCATTTTTGGATTCTTGGGCCCAAAAAAAGCATTTACTATAAGGGTTAAATATGTTTAAAATCTTTGGTTTTTGAGATATTTAGAGATATTTAAATATGCATGCTACAATAGAATAGATTACCAACAAACTGTACATTACTTTTCAGAATTAATTATTGTACCTGCAAAATTGTATTGCTTAAATTTATACAGGGGTACCAAAATTGCTCATCTATTTTAAATATTTATTTTACATAAAAACTTTGTTATTTCAAATGCAACACCCTGTATTTTTTTAAATAAATCGAAGCAGATTTAAATGCCAGAATTTTTATAAAACATTTTTTTATAAAAAAATTCTATCTTCATTTAACCTTACAACTCTAAATAAAATGTATTTTATAGTTACTGGAAGAGCTTATTTTACAACACTTACAGGTATTGGAGCATTCTCGGGCGTCGCTTGATTAGCAGCTGGAGCCGACGCCTGATTTGTTGTAGTATTTGTAGTGGGAGTACTCGGAGCTGTACGGTGGGTCAAAGCAGGTGTAGTGGTTCGTGCGCTACCTGGTCCTCTATAACAAGAATCAATATCCACCAAGGACAAATTAACACCTCCTATTTAATACAAAAGTTTAATATTACCGCATAGTTCCAAGGAGACTCGATAAACCAGGCATCTGCCCAGCACCACCAAATAACTGCATCAGTTGCGACTGAGACATGCTACTTAATAGCGCTTGTAGATCCTGCTCCGGCCTATCGGAGGACTGGGTAGCACTCGAAGGATTGTTCAGCAGGTCATTAATTCTTACACAATGATCTTCATCTTTGTCAGTTTTTGGCTCCTAAAACCCAATGTTAGTTTGGTTGATATACATGAAATATAAAAAATAGATTCCAAATCTATCCATACCTGAAGCCAAAAGAAAAACTTCCTATTTGATGACTTAAATTTCAGCAGATAAGCACGGCCAGTGGTACACTGTGGCACTTTTACATATTCGCAGTCATCAGGAAAGATGATCAAGTCATCTTCTACTACGCCGGACGTTCTATCTTGCCAGCAGAAATGCATTAAAGAGTCTTCGCTCTGATATACATACAGAAGGCCTTTACGTTTGTCAGGAAACACCATCCTTCCTATAAAAAATTAGGGTTTTGTAGGACGACTTTTGTTACCAGAATGACTTCGTTAACATTATAATACCTTTTAGATTCATTTTTCCTGCCCTCATTTCAACTAAATGCTTGTTTCCTCCTGTAGATCCAGGCCCTGTAGCTGTACTACCAAATAAAGCACCTCCAGCCGGCATTTTTGCAATAAAAGATCTGTATAAAAAAATACTGAATATTTACACTATCGAATAACTTTTTATTACTAGGTTTTAAAATAGGTATACCTTTTTAATCAAATAAAGTAGCAATAATTGTTTAAAATTTACCTACTCGCAGGAAGAATAGAGGATGATTTGAGAAAATTTAGTTGTCAGATGTCAAATATAAAACCCCAAAATGACAAATGTACCACACAGGCTAACCAACATAACAGGATTTCCTGAATTCTAAATTTCTCAGATTTCCTCTTAATTTGCTGCCGCCCATTAAAAAAGTATATTAAACTAAATCGGTTTAGTTAAAATTTTAATGAAAATCGCTGAAAACGCTTCTAGAATGTTTAAAATTATGCTCCGACGAGTTGGTTATTTTGTCTTTTATTGTTGGTATTCTCGGCATTAGCTAAAGCTGAGAGTGGAAAACAATAGATATTGTTTGACGTTTAATTAAAACACGAAATGGGCAGTGACGGTGCAAATTTATATTATAAAAATTAATTATAGAAGAAAACCTGACGTCCCTGTTTATGATAGTTAGTGTTTTTTGAGCAGTAAATTCGTAGGAAATGTTTTTGTTCATGGAATCATGATATATCTGAATCTGTAAATGAATTTATTTGATCTGTAATTTAGGTACCGCTACTGATATGAGGTTCGGCAATCTTCGGCAAACGCTCCTGCGATTTTCCTGTGAACTGAGCAGCGGTGTACGTTGAGTCCGCGGGGCAAAGAAGTGGAAGCAGCAGGAGCAGGCAGCTTGCCGTCGTCCATTGGAAACCAGCTGATTTAAGTTGACAATAAAATGTTCCGGTCTTTTGCCACATTTTTCGCCGGAAAAGTGTCCAAAAGTTTTAGCGTTCGCGTGGAAACCGCGTAGATACGTCGTTAGAACATCGGTGAAAATGGAAAATGAACAATGGTCGGCCGATTACCAACAATCTGTGACGGCAGGTATTGAAAGGCCCACCAGCAATCTCAACAATGGTAACATCAAAATCCTCGCCGCGGAAAACGACCTGCAAAATTCCCTCATCAAGCAGGATCCGGATTCGAAAACTATTTTTCCAGCAGAGATCAAATGCGAGAATGGCCAGACCAGCGTACTTAGGTACGTACAGATTTTAATTGACAGTTATATTTATAGCCAAAGCTAAACAGATTAATAACATTTTAAAATAAACAAACCGTGTAGAATCCTTGTTTTAATCTTAAACTCGTTTATTAACATATTTTCGTTTTGGGATTCATTCGGGTAACTTTTCTGGGAAAAAGGCATTCCTTCGAAAGAAGTACTACTCATTCTGTTGGGATTTATCTTATCATTAAGATAAATTTATCAGTAAGTATATTAAGGGCATAGGGAAAAAAACATGTTAGCTTAAAATAAGTTTAAGTAATTATTTGATTAGAAAATCCATATCAAATAAAAGAGTAAAAGATGGACACAAGACAAAGAGATCTTCAAAATTATTCTTGAAGAGCGATTGAACAGTCTTGAACTCTTCATTTTCACGAGATTTTGGGTTTTAAGGGCTCAAAGAAGGAAATCAAACTAAAAAACGTAATATCTACGATATAAAGAGATCTACAGAAAAATTAAAAGGGAGTATAGAAAAATATTGCAAAAAAAGAGACCTTCAATTTTCCGCTGTAGCATTTTTTACATATCTTGCTTAGTTTTTGAGATGTCAAAAAAATTAAAATTAAAAACAAAAAAATATTTTTTTCCATTATTTTCAACTTTTTTCCAAATTTAGGCATTCTAAACCGCTCGAACTTGCAGAGTCAATTGCTAGTACCTAAATATAGCCAAATGTACATGTAGTTTTTATTTTTATGATTATAGTCATAGATTTTGTTGTTAATTTTTTTCCGAAATAATGAGGTGACCATATTATTTTTATCATAACTCCGCGAGTTTTTAAGCTACGAACTTTTTTAGGAAAGCATTTAAAAGGTCTTTTCAAGCACTTTAAAAACGGTCATATTCATTTTCTTCGAAAAATGTGTTCTTTCGCCATTATTTTACGTATTATGTAAAAGTTGCAATTTAGTTTTCGAAAAATAAAAAATCACGTTTACATAATGATAACTCGGCTATTATTACACCTACGGTAATCACGCCCGAGAAGGGGTGGTACTCACCCCCAGGGTGAAAGCACACATCGCTACTATGTAACTTTTGTTTCTTACATAATCTCTATTGACTGTTACAATTTTACGTCAATCGGTGCAGGTGTTCAGAATTCGGACCCTAAAACCCTCGCTTACTGACCTATTCAAAAATTTAACCACCTTTACTATCTTATAATTATTATACCTATCTACACCTCTTAATTTTGTAGGTATATTAAGCCGCGTCCAAGCTACTCGAACAAAACGTTCGCAAACATATATAATTCACACTATATACTCGTAGCAGCAGGTCGTAAACGACGGCACAGCCCATCGCATCGGTCCCGAGGACTGGGGTGCGGGGAAGAATGCGACAGCCAGTTTGCTCTATAGATCTAGGATGCGTTTAGGTAGTCGCTGTTTTTTCGAGTGCAAGCATTTTATTAAATAAATTAACCGGTAAACAGTTTAAGAACTTTTGTCGTTGAAGAATCAATATTTAGCAGGCGGAGGGTCACAGGGGTCTTTTGGTAGATTATTCGTTATAGTGTATTTTTAAGACCTGTATTCATTTTCAGCCGATTCTACTAGGAGTTTGTCAAAAGGGGCTCACTTTTTTACTTTTTTATTTTTTCAGATAATACAACGAAATTTGGTTTGTTAGTATATGACAGAAATCGGGATTGATTGACGTATTCAATTATCGTCGGTCGCTTCCTGTTTCACCGGAAATGACTACAACTTCGTATTTTTAGATTGTATCCTAAGTATTTTTTTACTTTATTTGATAGAAAATGACATTCTGAATAGAATGACATACCATACGTCATTTTTAGACAATTCCAATTAAATAAAAATAGCATTTTAAATTTCGATCTAGAGTGCCAAGACTGAGTTAAAACTATTAATTTGTAATCAAAGAACTTTGGAAACATATATTTTATCGTGTAATTTTTTTTCGTATCCTTTCATGGCCGCTTAAAAGATGCCCAAATTGTATTTTTAATGATAACTCAAATTTTTCAAATGGTACGACGCTGGCTCAGCATATTTGGAAAAAGCATTTTTTACGAATAATTTGGTACCACATACTTGGTATTTGGAGTAAAATTGTCGTTCCGTATATTTATGGCCATTTTTAAATTGAAAATGTCAAAAGTTGACATATAATGTATCATTCTATTTAGAATGTCATTTTCTATCATATACGGTAAAAAAATACCGAGGGTACCATTTAAATCAAAAGTTGTGATAGGTAGATTATAGTATATAGTCATTTCCGGTGAAATAGGTAGTGACCGAAAATAAATGAAAACGTCGATCAATCCTGAATTATGTCCTATACTAACATACCAAATCTCGTTTTTTATCTAAAAAATAAAAAAAGTTATAGAAGTGAACCACTTTTCAGAAACACCCGGTATATTTATTTCTAAAAATGTAATGGTAAAATTTCATTTCCGGTGTCAAACTTCCTATTAAGTAGTAATTTCTAATTTCCGAATCCCATAATAATTCCGGTTTTTAATAAAAATAATCATAAAGATAAACAAAAATGAAATTATATGGACAAAGTCTAGCTACATAGCTATTCACACTCAACCCACAATAAAATTAAAATTATAAAATCTTTTCTTTGTGTAAACAAATTAGTTGTAAATGTTTTTCACGATCCCAGTCAATAACTGCGTCTCCCATTGTCGAATACTCGGTAAAAAATAAAAATCACAGATGGACGCCCGAAATTAAATGAGACCCTTCCAAGTGTCCGCTACAATGTCCGCCGAAATCATAGACTTAAAATAAAATATAGACTACACTATTTACATCTCAACGCGGTCAAACAATCTTTTTTGTACACATGTTTACTTCTGGGTACAGTCGACCGAGCCTTCCTCATCCAGCCTATGTTGTCACGTCTTTAATATTATCAAGATTTTTTTTCTTGTTATACACGTATATTGAGATATTAATACTACAGTTTAATAAAGTAGGTTTTAATATTCCATAGATGTATTAAATAGTCCTTATACTACTAAATTATAAGTCGGATACTGTTTAAAAAGGATAAATTCTTTACAATATGACAACACCGATTAGAGGCGAGGGAGCCTATTCATTCATTTATTACCTTGTAGTACGCGTCGCACGTGTGCGGTAAAGCTTTGTTGCCGCTATGTCCCCGGCTGTATTAACGCATTTTCTTAGCTTGTAGTCCTTAAGTGTTTATTTTATTGACTTTTTCTGTTCAAGAACTGTAAAAAATGGTTCGCCAGTGCCAAATTTGCAAGAAATTTGACTTTAATAATCCATTTAAGTCTTGAAACTACTTTCGACCTGTAGGCAACTCTCAATTTACCCATTAGGAGTCAGTGGCGTTGTTGTAGAAAGGCGCTTATTTAGATAATATTTTAGTAAAATGTAAAATCTGAATTTTTTCTCTTACATTACATTATTTACTTACTTACATTGTAACAAAATCATAATTATAACCCTGTTATAATTAATAATGTTTTTATTAAAAATATATTCCGGTTTATTTTAAAATTATCTTCAGAATCTAAAATAACATACAATAATTTTAAAATGATATTACATTATGAAACAATATTTTTTAATATACCGGGTCGTTTCCAAAGTGGCTCACCCCCTATAACTTTTTTATTTTTTCAGATAAAAAAAACTGATTTGTATGTTAGTAGGTATATGACATAAATTAGGATTTATTGACGTATTCAAGTGTTTTTGGTCTCTTCCTGTTTCACCGAAATGATTACATCTTTTGATTTTTAAAGACACCCTCGGTATATTGCTACTTTATTCGATAAAAAATGACACTCTGAATAGAACAGGGACGCGCCGTCCATATGGGCAAGGTCGTGCGGCGCACGACGGCGCCAAAGCCCTAAAGGCGTCTGCGGTCACTGACTTTAAAAAATAATAAAACCATTTTTTGGAACTTATCAACAAATTAACATAAAATTTAAGTAATACTTTTATCTATGAAAGCCAGTGGTGAAAATATATTATCCACCAATGGTCAAGCGCCGCGCCGCTGATCATTGGAAATTTTGGCTTAATATTATAATATTGGAGAAAGGCGCCTACCCTTATTTCGCACGACGGCGCCGAAAATACTTGGCGCGTCCCTGGAATAGAATGACATATCATATGTCAACTTTTGACATTGTCGCTTAAAAACAAATCGTATTTTAAATTTCAATCCAGGGTGCCATGGTGTTGTTAAAAACACTAAGTTTTAATCAAGGAGCCTTGGAAAAATAGTTTTGATCGTCTAATGGGTTTCGTGTCTTGTCTAGGCCGGTTAAAAGATGTACAAATCGTATTTTTAATCATACATGTAACAATTTTTTCAAATGGAACAAGGGTGACTCATTAGCATATTTGGAAAAAGCATTTTTTTATGAATATATTGATACCACACACTTGGTATTTCGAGTCAAATTGTCGTTATGAACCGCATGTTACAATTACAATTAAACCATTTGCATTTTCTGTCGAATAAAGTAGAAATATACCGAGGGTGCCGTTTAAAAATTAAAAGTTATAGTCATTTCCGGTGAAACAGGAAGTGACCAAAAACAATTGAATGGGTCAATCAATCCTAATTTATGTCATATACTAACATACTAAATCTTGTTATTACAACAATCATATTTTTTTTCTCTCTCTGTCGCCGATTCTATTATATCTGTGGAATAGATCCTGTTTTGATTAATATTAGGGGTTGTAAATGTTTGACTAAAATTAATAATTTATTATTAATTTAAATCGAAATTACGTAATTTTTGAAATTAATAATTTATTATTATTTTCAAAAATTACGTAATTTCGATTATAAAATTTCTTCTATAACGTGTATTTTATTATTTTTATCCATTTTGGACTCTAAGACGTTTTTTCTAAACTTTTATTTAAAAAACCTGTTCTAAATCTTAATAAAATATAAAAAAAGTTTAAATACGATATATTTTTAATTTAATTATAGCTTCATTAGAATAAAAAAATTACCCGGCTATGATGCGGAGCGTTCAGGTGTACTTGAGAAACGAAAGACAGTGTTGTGTTTCTCGGCAGAGTCGTCAGGGAACGACCGTTGCGACAGAGACAACCTATCTATCGCTCGTGTCGCACTCGTTATAACCTAAAACAATAACACAACAATAACAAGACATTGTCTGACCGCACGTTCCAGCTATTTATGAATGAGATGCTCAGTCTATATCTTATTTTAAGTCTATGGCCGAAATGCACACCGTTCGCTCCTTTTGATTTACCGACACCCGTCGGAAAAAGAACGCGCGCGCTCTAGCATAAGCTGACGCATGCTCTGGCGTACAAGCTAGCCGTTCGGCGCTCTGCGCTCCGCGCTCCTTAATAGGCCTAGGCTAGCTGTACTTGTTGGTTTTATTATTTATAAATCTACCTATCTCACAATTTTCACTTAGTGTCTGTTTAATTATATGTATATGTTCGCGAACATTTTGTTCGAGTAGCTTGGACGCGGCTTTAAAAGTAACTTGCCTACATGTGTTTTAGAATTCATTAAAGGATTATGTTCCATTTAAACATTTTAGTAGATCATTTTCACTAATAGATGTGTAAATTAGAATGGTTTTAATAGATTTTTAATTATTTAACTTTAAATGACCATTACTTAATGCTATAAAGGTATAACAACCTATAATCTGTGAGAAGTTAGTGGACTAGATGTTGTAATATCTTAATAAGTTAGACAATTTATGAAAAAATTATATTAAAAAAATACCTAAATTTAGCTAATATTTGATTAGAAATTCCATGTCAAATAATAGTAACGGAAAATATCAATAAACAGCTTCTTGGACAGAAGACAAAGGAATAACAAATCTTTAAAATAATTTCCTCTATACAGGGTGTCCCAATATTCCGTAGACATAGAATTACTACGTATTTTTGGAATCAAAATAAGTTTATTGGACACGTGGTTTATTTACCTCTATACAAAAGTGCTTCGTTTGTCCGCTAGAGGGCATCAAGCTTTAAAAAAATAAACAGATTTTTTTAGATATTTTAAGAACCGTTATTCCGATTTGAATGAGATTTTGGATATCTATGTGCTTTAACATTTGACTTTCAAAAAAATCAAGAAAAAGTACAGGAAGGACGAAAACTACCCTCACCCCTACGTAAATTTTAGTGTAAATATTTTTCAACTCCTCCGATGACAGATTTTCTTTTCGTAAAATGGTCCCTCTAGTATTTACTCCGTTTTTTGTTTCTTGTAAGCAGCGCCACATCGCATAGCTTTTATGAAAAAATTTTTTTGCGAAAAACGCATAGTTTTTGAGATATTTACAAAATACCGATTTTGAGCGCCATCTTGGCAAGATGGCGGCCCCGGCGGCAAGTCTGGGAATGTGCATTTTATGGATTTTAGTTAGGGACCCCAAAACCTATAAACCTGCAAAGTTTCAAAACTTCCGGACTTTTTTACAAGCAGGCCCATTTTTTGATTCTCAATGACTGAACTAATTGCCGGACCCTGTATAGTTGTTTTATATGGTTTCAGTGAGAAGTCTAAACAGGCGATACAGCTCATCCTGGCGCAAATAAAGACGCTATCGCCAAACGAGAAGTACCTTTTCTATTTGAAGTTGCCTTCGGAGATAACGGACATCATCGACCCGTTTAGACAGCCTTTGAATCCACTGGGCAGCCGGTCGGAGATCTCCAGGACGATAGTCTGGATACAGACGCACCTGGAGGAGGATCAAAACATTTCCCTGCCCAAGAAGGAGGTCTACAATGAATATGAGTAAGTATGAATGTGAATAAAGACTATTAGGGTGGGTCAAAAAAATCGACTATTTTTTTTCACTTTATACTCTGAAAAAACGGTTGGTAGACTCCTCAAAAAAATTCTGTCCAAGTATGAGCTCTTAATTTCAATAGGAAGGTCCTCCGCCTTTTAGTTTTCTATTTTTTCCTTATTATTAGAAAGAAAAATTCCGTCAACGAAGGTTTTGACACTTTTTTTGGTTTTAAGTTTAATCCATAGATAAAGGAAATAAATTTAGATTGGAAAGTCCGTCAAAAAGGTCAAAATATATAATTGTTTGGCTGTACTTAAACTGCCGTTAAACGGTAGCTTACTAAAATGCCGTTAATAGGTATGACGTCGTTGATGTGACGCACCTGACGGCTTTATGAAATATAGGAATTTTATAAGGACTAACAAACGCTATCCACCCCATCAAATAACCAACTTAACCAACGCAACTAACCTCGACACTGATAAAAAATATAAAAAACAAATATAAATTAGTAAAAATCATCCAACCCCACCAAATAACCAACTAACCAATTAATTAACACCCTCCAAATAACCACGCTAACCAACCCGCCAAATAACTAAACAAATCCAACCAAAAAGAGTGAAACCAATGCAGTAAGATCACGCTATAAGCAAAAAAAATATATAAAAAAGTCTTGGACGGCGTGAGATTTGAACCACGGACCATTCGCTTACGAAGCGATAGCCTCAGCCACTGAGCCAGAGGTGCCCTTGCAAAAATGCTTAAGGCTAGGCATTACTTTCCGCCGACATGAACGACGTCACAATATCTATTAGCGGCATTTTAGTAGGCTACCGTTTAACGGCTGTTTAAGTACATCGTAATCATAGATTTAGTAAGAACAGATATCACATTGTGCATTTTAACTCGATCAAACAATCGGAGGTTGACTACGTACTGTAAAAACCAACTGAGATAAAGAAGGCGACATTGCCACATCTCAAGTTTGCGCCTATCTACTTAGTTTGATTTGCAGAAAAGGTGACTTTAAAACCTTCACCGGATATCAATAAATCTCAATTTCTTAATTAAATTAATAGTTTATTTTTAAAGAAGCATGCGTAATAATATGTTATTAACCAGAGGATATATGCGTTACTATTAAAGGACATGTTTACTGTTTAATGTGCTGAAACGTCTAGAACTATTGGCAACGTCGCTGCTAGTCTTCCAGAATGAAATGAGCCGTCCGTCCCACCACCCCTCGCGACGGCCCATGGTCCGTTATAGCGTACTACGTTTAGCAAACTTTGGTTTAGCTTACGTTGTGTTTGCAGTCGGAATCAAGGCCGAAGTGAACTTTTCAGTGGTTTTCAGTAGTTTTTGTTTTTGTTTAACGTACTTTTAAATCTGCGAATTTTCAATATGGTAGGACAGTGTCAAATGTGTGGAAAAATAAGCTCAAATTACCCGAATTTGTCTTTTCACAGATAGGTATTGTTTCCGCCGTAATCGTACATAGGCGTCCCACAAGGGAGCCTCTCGAAATTAAAATAATTTCTAATTATATTTGTTGAATTTTGATCTATTAAAACAAGAACGTAGTAGCCGGTAATTGAATTATAATTCGTCTCAATTACTACCTAACTGTTGTAGATCATAACAAATTTGAATATAAACGTTGCATTTGAAACTTTATTATATGCCAGAAAATGACATTTTTTTTAAATTGCGTCATATTTTGGTCATTATATACGATATTCTAAAGGAATTAAGCTACCTAAGTAATGGATTTGTAAATAAACGTAATATTCATTATTATGCGACAGAAATCCCATACTGTAGCACACAGATTTGATACTTTTAATGATAAATGCCCTCTACTGAGAAACTAAAAGGATTAAAATAAATATTGATTTTAGGTATAGGAAGCTTTATAACAAAACTCATCTAACGAAAAAGTGTTAATGTAGTATATTAATATGGAGTAAGAATTTTACCAATTACTTTACTTTTACTTTACTAATTAAATTCGTTCCAAAAAACGATACGCCACTGGCCATTGGAACAATCCAAATGCGCCTAGTTGCCGGGGTCGGAAATTTTAGACTTCTCTGTCTCTTCTGTCTTTGTTTGACACATTGGAATGTTTGATACACTATCAACGAGTATTTATGAATGAGATGTTCGGTCTATCTTTATAATGTCTTTGATCGTAATTGTTTTGGGTCGCGACCGTTGCGTTGTACGCGATCTGGCGCTGCTATAGCGGCTGCTAAAAAAACCGAACCGAAAACAATAACAGAAATATTTTTCTCTTGTCAAAGTCAGAATCTTCAAAAATTAGAAAATCTTTCAACATTTAAACGGCCCTCATTGAAAAAATGCCGAAAAGTGTTTTTCAAAGTAATTATTGCTATCTTGTAAGTTTAATTTAAATTTTACTTACTCAAACCCGTGATAACTGTGAAAAATTGGCATTAAAAACTAAAAAACTGTGTTGTGAACTGTGAACAGCAAAAACCATCGTGAATCGTGGCATAACGTTGGTTTCCAATGTTTCATAGGTATTTCACAGACATGTCCTTATATAAAATAAAGTTTCTTGTATGCAACACACTGTATTTTATTTATAAAATTAAAAGAAAATAATAATAAATTTGTATAAACAATATTTGGTGACATAATTCCGGAAAAAACCGAACCGATCCGAAATTATCCAAAGCTTTGGGTCGCGACCGTTGCAAGAATAGCTCCAAATAGTGTTTACATTGTCCTTATGGGCACTTTGCAACCTAAACTTGTTTCTTTTATCTATGGTTTAATCTATGGGTTTAATCCAAGAGCCTAGCAGCGTCGGGAACACGAGAATTTTAAGAAAGCTGGGTTTTTAAGAAAGGATTTCTTGTTTATTAAAGTTTCTCGTTTAATTAAAGGTGCCCGGTGGCGTAGAGTTACAGGCTCTCGTCTACCAATCTCAAGGTGTAGGTTCGAATCCTACACCCGGCATTTCATCAGCCGACTTTTTTATTAAAATAAAAATAGTTTGGGTACCTAGGTCGACTCAGCCTTAAATGAGTACTTGGGATTCACAATTCTGAGGTAATAATACGCGGTTGAAGCGTAGTGCTAGCCACATTACCTTCCTTGTATACCGACGGCTCTAGCACGGCAAGCTGTACCTTGCTACTCCCAAGGCGTTAAACGCTATACAGGGTTGTTCACCACATACGACACGGAGTATTGTAGCTAAACGATTAGATTTTTACAAATTGTAAGTTTTGGGTTCGTTGAAGGACTATTAGAGCTACAATTTTAAAATATTTTTACAACATACAGAGTGTCCCAAATAAATAAAAAATATCAAAGTTGTATTTTTTTAAATGGAACACCCTGTATATTATTATATTTTTAGTTTCTACGATTAAAATAAAGGTAAATTTGATAAAGGTTTATTACACTTAAACCTTACCGTTTTCGAAATATTTTCAATTTTGTAAAATTGCAGTAAACATTTTAAGGCTTCATTTCACCAAGGGTATCAAAGTTTTTAATACTAAATATTTACTGAAGTTTATTTATTGATCAGTTATTGTGTTGCAATAATAAAAATGATACTACCTTATACAGAGTGTCTAAAATTTTATTTTAAATAATTACTTGCTTTAAACGGCAATAACTTGTTTAATTTGCACAATTTAATTGTCTAACAAATTGTTTTATAACATTTTTACCTATCTCTTCAAGTTTCCGTAGAAAATGCATTTTCTGGTAATTTAAAACTCATTTATCAATATATCCATGGAATACTGACATTTTAGATTATTTTTAAAGATGTACCAAATTTTTAAAGAGTACAGATACTAATATTGTAGATATAGTTTGTTTATTTCATTAAAAATAAAAAAAAACTGTTTAAATATTTGTTAAAGAGTTTATTAATATGATTCCAGTATTCAAACTACATTAATTGACTGTTTGGGTTGATTAATAATAATTGCTTCAAATACCAAAAAACTGAATTTTGTATGTGTATTAGACAGTGTAGTAAAAAGTAAAACCTTAAAAATGTTATTTAATTTTTTGACAAATGCTTATTTATAACAACAGAGACATTCATTTTCATAACTTATTATTATATTGATTTCTGATTCAAATCCACATTTATTTAGAATAATTTATTAACGAACATAATTAAGTATGTAATTAATTAGTATTTGGGCGGAAATAATGGTGATATATTTAATTAATGGTATATTTTTTTATAAAGATTTAAATAGTTTTCTTTTTGCATACAAATGGGCTAAAAATATTATAATTTTGCTAAAAACGATAATATTACTAGCCTGTACATTTTGTACATTTGTTGCTTTAAAAACAATCTGAAATGTCAATATTCCATGGGTATATTGATAAATGAGGTCTAAATTATAAGAAAATGCATTTTCTACGAAAACTTGAAGGGATAGGTAAAAAGTGGTATAATACAATTTGATAGACAATTAAATTGTGCATCTGATTTTCCTAAAATATACAGGGCGTTCCATTTAAATTAGACAAGTTATTGCCGTTTAAAGCTAGAAATAATTTAAAATTAATTTTTAGACACTCTGTATGAACTAGTATTATTTTTATTATTGCAACATAATAACTGATCAATAAACAGACTTCAGTAAATATATAGTAATTAAAAACTTTGGTACCCTTGGAGAAATGAAGCCTTAAAATTTTTACGGCAATTTCACAAAATTGAAAATATTTCAAAAACGGTAAGGTTTAAGTGTAATAAACCTTAATCAAATTTACCTTTATTTTAATCGTAGAAACTAAAAATGTAATAATATACAGGGTGTTCCATTTAAAAAAATACAACTTTGATATTTTTTATTTATTTGGGACACTCTGTATCTTGTAAAAATATTTTTAAATTGTAGCTCTAATAGTCCTTCCACGAACCCAAAACTTACAATTTGTAAAAATCTAATCATTTAGCTACAATACTCCGTGTCGTATGTGGTGA